GATATCTTATATACTTTATGAGATATCTTATAAGATATCTTATATACTTTATAAGATATCTTATATAATAAATGAGATATCTTATATATCTTTCTTTATAAGATATCTCATAAAAGATATAAGATATCTTATATATTATATAAGATATCTTATATGTTTATAAGATATCTTATATGTTTTCAAGATGTCTTATATGTTTTCAAGATATCTTGTATAATTTATAAGATACCTTATATAATAAATGAGATATCTTATATAATTTGGTTAAGTACTGGATCAACATTGCTCCATGAATAAATGACAACTTGGCTTGCCATAATTGTTTCCACTTTCAGAGGAACAAATAGGTTCTTTTGATTTCTTTAAACATTGTCATTTTCGAACTTAATTGTTTCAGTTTATGTGGCTGTATTATCATTATTTATTGGTTAGTATATCCTTGTACGTTTTTCAAGTTGTAAGAGATTAATTACACACAACCGATATCGAGGCTGTATTAAGTCCTGAGAGAAATCATACGATAACCGTCTTACTACATATCTTCCGACTCCAATAAACAGATCTGAGCAAGTGGATCAAATATCACCTTTATATCTCCCTTTATACCTTCTTATCCTTTCTATAATCTAATGTTAATAGGGATGGCGGGGTTGACTTAAACATAATAAACTCCACTCTTGTGGCGTTTTCTAGGCGCTACATTATGGCTATTGATAATATGTCATTATTTTTTATGTTTCATAAAATACGATGTTATCACATTCACCTGAATAATTTTTTTAACGGAATCCTAATCTGTGTTATTTCTTCATAACCAAAACAAGCCAGCTGTGTTACTGGTGTCTCGAATTCCAGTTAAGTGGACAACATAAATACATATGTGAGTGCGAACTTATAATTTGCCCCTTTTCGTATACAGTATCCTTCCAAGGGACGTAACTTGCCTTCTGATATATAATTTACTACTGTGTCTCTGAAGGAATAGATATTTGTTGGATTAGTTTTTGTAGAAAAGAATATCAGAATCTCTCCTCATGAAAGAGCTAATAAAATGACAAATACTCACTCACATTGGTACTGATAAAACATACAGAAAGGAATTAAAACGTATTGGGATGTCTATTAAGATGGGCATTTCTAACTCACTCATTCTATGTGAATAGTTGAGAAGTATGCAGTAAGATAGTTATTTAATGTTTTTTTCGCCTGTCAGGACTAGTATAACTCTCTATCACTCGAGTGTAATACATCAATTGTTTGCCTAAAACATGCAATAACCTACTCAGGCTTATCTGTTCTGGTATCACCTGACTTATTCATGGTTCAGTAAGCAGGCTAATTGACAAAACAGGGCTAACTAATTATTGCTAATTGCTAACAAGTACACTTGTGAACTGCAGGCCTGAGGGTATTCTCGTGGTTGCGTTTAAAATGGCAGGGCGCCCAGGAATGATATTTGTAACGCTATATAGGTTTCGTAGACACTATTCCCCCTTCGCTGTATTTCTACATATCATTCGGAACACTTCACACATGGGTTTTGTGAACACTCTTACCCCTTCGCTGTGTTTCTACATATCATTCGGAACATTTCACACATGGGTTTTGTGAACACTCTTCCCCCTTCGCTGTATTTCTACATAACATTCGTAACACTTCACACATGGGTTTTGTGAACACTCTTCCCCCTTCGCTGTGTTTCTACATAACATTCGGAACACTTCACACATGGGTTTTGTGAATACTCTTCCCCCTTCGCTGTATTTCTACATATCATTCGGAACACTTCACATATGGGTTTTGTGAACACTCTTACCCCTTCGCTGTATTTCTACATATCATTCGGAACACTTCACACATGGGTTTTGTGAACACTCTTCCCCCTTCGCTGTATTTCTACATATCATTCGGAACACTTCACACATGGGTTTTGTGAACACTCTCCCCCCTTCGCTGTGTTTCTACATATCATTCGGAACATTTCACACATGGGTTTTGTGAACACTCTTCCCCCTTCGCTGTATTTCTACATATCATTCGGAACATTTTAGACATGGGTTTTTCATACTTTTAACCTTTAGTACCAGTCGAAGTCGAAATGACTATATGGTGCAGTTAAATGTTTACTTTGTTTGGCTTTGTGCAGGGTTAAACTAAATGTTTAAATAGGCCATCCTTATATCGTTTTCCTAGTAACAATGGTTAAGAGATCATGGTGGCAAAGACTCCATGCTGTTCACGCTTGGCGGTAATACCAACCAAATAAATCTTTGTCACTGTAGATGTCTGATGTATATCGATAAGTAATTTGCCAGGACGGCAAACACGTGGTACGATGTTTACCTGTCAGATATCGCTACCGACATTATCTGCACATATATAAAGACGTTAAAAAAAAATATGCACAGATGGCGTTCGTTTTAACATTTGGTATCATGTTATTGCCACTTGAGTAAATCTACTTCATTAAATCTGTCAGGCACACTTTCGTTATCTTAACTACAATGGAACCGTTATGTCGATATTTTAAAATAATCATAATCCCTTGATGTATCTGTGCGGGACATCCTGTCAACACAAGTAAAAAACTAACCTTACATGCCAGGAAAAATAAGGAAATACCCACGTGATCATTTTGCTGACAACAGCAGTAGCATATTGTATCCATGTTTATGAAAAGAAATTCAAGAAAAGTTTCATTGCACCAATACATTTATGATCATCCTTTAGAAATTTGACAGATTGACTTGACTATTTATCGATACAACCAACTCACTTCAAGTTTCTTATGGTAACATCATACACAGAGCTCTCCTGGTTCGCCTCTTACACCATTGGGTTGATATAGAAAATTGTTTGTAAAAAATCTATTCCTAGCAGTTAAAATGACTGTCGTTTTGTCGACTTGTTTTCCCTTTCCTAAGTTCTGTAGCGCATTTTCTAATCAATCGCCAGATTTTAATATGATAAATTTCTTATTTTCTTAAAGCTTTTACTTTTACGAATGCTCTACTTGTTTTCGATGGTTTAATGCATGGAATTGACTGAATGTGTTTAATATCTGTACAACTTTTTGATTGAAAATTATATTATTACTAAGCATCAGTCTGGCTTTATACCTGCTGATTCTACTGTCAATCAGCTTTTGTTTAAGTAAGCAATATGGATAAAGAAAGGAGCTTCGATTTGTTTTTTTGTGATATCAGTAAAGCCTTCGACAGAGTATGGCACGAAGGCCTAATATTTAAATTGAAATTATATGGTATAAATTAAAGTTGTCTGTCTAACAGATTGCAAAGTGAAAATACTGAAGGTTACTTTTCACAATTTAATAATGTAAATGCAGTGGTACCTCAAGGATCTGTCCTCGGACCACTATTATTTCTTCTATGATATCACTACTAATGTTTCCACCAATATCAAACTTTTTGCTGATGACACTTCTCTGTATGTAATTATAGATAATAACCCAGCACAGGTCGCACAATCTCTCAACACTGATCTTACTAACATAGGTGAATGGGCAACTACTTAGGACATTAAATTCAATCCAAGTAAAACAAAATCACTCATATTTTCTAGAAAACAAGACACCCATCACCCCCACTATCCTTCCAAAATATCCAAGATGATGCAACATGGAAACAGCACATACAGAATATATACAAAAAAGCTTACAATAGACTTAATATTCTTCGCCACGTCAAAATTAAAATATATATGGGATTTATTAGGCCAATTTTGGAATATGCAGAATTTTTGGGATAATTGTACAGATTCAATAAGATCTTTTGCCTGTTGTGTACAATTATCCCAAAAATTCTGCATATTCCAAAATTGGCCTAATAAATCCCATATATCTTTTAACTTTGAAGCAGCTAGGATAATAACAGTCTTCGTTCTGGGGTATCACATGACAAACTATACAATGAACTAGGTTGGGAAACACTATCTGTAAGACGAAATAAACAAAAACATGTAATGATGTCCAAATAATACATGGGCAGACACCTCAAAACTTACAAAATGTGTTAAATCCCTTTATTAATAATCAAAATGATAACCCTACCATCTCAGACAAACTAGACTTTTCAACCCACCATTATGTAGAACGAATAACTATTTCAACAGCCTTTTCCCTCAAATGTGCCGCACAATTAACACTGCTAATTCTGATCTTCTTACTTCTCCCTCTCCTGCAGCATTAAACAATTACTTGAATATAGATATTGTTTCTGATAGTGAATCTGTATCAATTTTCAAAACGGAAGGTAACAGAAGAGCAAATATTATTCTATGTCGACTTCGAAACTCTTGTAGTAATTTAAATTCTGATTTACACCATGACCATCTTACTAATAGTCCAGCTTGTTCCTGCTCTGCTGAACACGAAACAGTATCTCATTACTTTTTGGAATGTCCTATTTTTGATAATCGAAGAACTACTCTGTTCCCTTCTCTTAATAGTTATGGCAACCACAATCACATTAATATACACTTTCTTCTCCTGATTGTGATGGGCCTACAAATAGACGAATACTTGATGATGTGCATTTTTTTTATTGGAAAATCCAATCGTTTTCATTTTCATATGACTTAAAGCCAGGATGTACATTTTTAAACAAAAACATACTGATTCTAAAATACACACAGGAGATTCTAGTTGAGCATGACTACTGACTATTTATCTTGACATTGTAAATAATTACACTCTATATGTATTAAATAATTTTATTATTCTTAACTGTAACAGTTGTTGGTAGCAGTGACCTGTGCGATATATGCATACGGACTTTTGGTCTAAGTCTGTACATGTACTTTATGTGGGTGTAATTGTTTATGAGGTGTGCGAGATGTTTCCTTCATGAGTTACTTCCCCTTAGCCTTGTGTTAATATGAATTATTTTGTGTCAAATTTTTCATTTCTAACATGTCTAAAATAGTATGTCTCATTGTTTATTCCACTGTGACGGAAAAAATGTATATAGGCTTTGCCTGTTATTCTATACAATTGACTATGCAATCTTGTCAATAAAATGTGATTAAATGAAAATCTACTATGGTTTCAACTCATTGTATAGTAATTGTAAAAAGAAAAATGCGTTCAATACTTTTCCAGTAGCCTTCCATTGGAAGTGTGAACAAGTGAGTCATGTGTGACTGGTCTTGGACTAATAAGGTTGTTGAATGAAGGTACACGCGTGCACATACACATACATCGACATTAAACTGGTTTAGCATTACTAATGGCTGCAGGGGTTAAAAGACATAATTTGTTACTCAAAGTTGAGGAAACTAGGGCAATGACAGGGGAAGATTTGTGATGGAGACGTTTGAAAACGTGCAAGAAGAATAAGACCAGGTGTTCAGGCAGGGTACTCGTCTTCTGCTTCATCATGGCTATAGACTTCATCAACCTACATATTTGGAAATCATGTGTTGTAAGTTTGTCCATAATCAGTCGTATCTATAACAGAGGTCGAAGCAAGCTCTTGAATGCCCAATCAACTGTGACATGTAAACACCTTAGGTAGGGGAAGCAGGGATGTTACTATCATGACATTGGCTGTGAAATCGGCTTGTTAGGAAGTAATAACGAGTCATCACTGGCTAAATGTTTGGGCTCACAAAATCCCTGCTTTAAGTTACTATATATTATCATGTTACCGTATAGATTCTAAGTAGACACGGAAACCCATTCAAACATGTTTTATTTGGTAAACGTATATTATGGTTGGATATAATAATATACTTCAGGATTCGCATATATTGAACCACAGCTGCCTCCATTAATTGTTTTTGTCCTTTATTTTCTCATCCTCGTTATATATATTCCTCGATTACACACGCAAACATGTTGACAACCCTAATATGAAGAAAAGGAAAAACCAGAATCCAAAAAAACTGGAGAAACCAGATGCTGCTCTGGAAGTGTTTCATGAACGTTTAAACATATTCTCGAATATAATTTGTTTGTGAAGTAAGACATTTTATTGCATTAGGGCTGGTATTGTAAATGAGAATATTTATTATATAATTCTGTTTCTTTTCTAAAATGCATATCTAGTAAATGGTAACAGAGTAATTGATTCAAGGCTACACGATATGTATACGGTCCTTACGTGAAGACACCTGTTCGCTAGCACTTACTAGCAAGAATGTCGTTTTGTTTGTCTGACCACACAGTATGTTTGTCTTGCAGATGACTAATTTTGGTATAACCAATATTATATATGAACCTACAAGAATTACTCCTACCTCTTCTTCTCTTCATCTTTTGGTATAATTATGACTAATAATACTTATATAGTAAATAATCCATGTATCAATATAATTTGTATTGACTGCTGTCCAATTAGTAAATAGATCCTTCAAAACTCTTAATATGATATATTTTTTTATGTATTTCAGTGAAACATCTATTCAACACCGATTGGGATAACTTGCTGGATGAAAGTTTTGATCTAGAAACTATGACTGATATTCTTTCAAGCGAAAATCATAATTGTATTGAAAAATATGTACTAAATATAGGTGATAGTATTCACCCAAACGATAAAGTCTGGATGAATAATGACATTTAATTACACATAAGAAAAAAGAAATCCTCAACATGCAAGGACAAAAATGCCAATACAATTGTAGCCTGGAAAATAACTTGGTAAATTATAGGCTTATGGGAGAAGCTGAGCAAATTTATTCACTCAAATTGAAGATAGTGGTGGCAATGATCCAGCCTGCTGGTCCCTATAACTCCCTCCATGTTTTATAAAGGGTAGTGTGCTTATGTAACCCCGTAACCCCAATACATATCTCTTTAATTTTCTATCTGAGAATAAAATAATCTCAAAGAATTAGTCTGGCTTGATTGCCAAAGACTCAGCTGTTAATCTATTACTCTCGTATTATGACGAAGCTTCAATACCTTGATAAAGGTAAAGAGGCTAAGATAGTATTTTGTGACATCAGTAAAAGCGTTTGACAGGGTTTGACAGGGTTTGACAGTGGAATAACTGACAAATTAAAAGGTATGGAACTTGTAATTATTAACTGATAGTTACAAGTCAAATATGCGAACATTTCGTGCAACCCTAAGTACCCCAAGGCTCAGTACTAGGACCTTTATTTCAAGTATATTAATGACATAGAAGGTCACCTTCACTCTAATGTCAAACTCTTTGCTGATGAAACCTCTCTTTTTGTTTTGAATGTATACTTTGCAAGGTAAATAGATATAAGATTTAACCCAAATAAAACTGAATCATTCGTATTATACAACAAAACTAATTCTGAGACTGCTCACCCCAATTTGTCATCCTCTTATATTGTTGTTATAAATTTAAAATTTAAAATTCCAAATCTTAAGCATGTTGATTTGTTTTTGAATAGCTGTGGATCATCACGATAATATCATATAAAATGTAATTATATGTTTGAAAAGGGTTGTACAAAACGACAAATAATACGATTGCTCAAACACAGTTAAGATAGAAAGTCTCTTGAATTTATTCATAACTCGACTGTAATGACTGCGGACAATGTGAAAGTGATATACTAAAATCAGTGTGATTAGAATGTAAAAAATTATATCAGATTTGAGAAGAGATACCAGTCATAGCTCAATGTATAAAGGAGTTGACTTTGATACCTAAACAGGCGTGGTAATCTTCAGTGTATTTATGAGATACTTCGGATCAATATAAGGATCATTTTACTGATAACCCTAATTGTAATTGTGGTAATGTCATTAAAGATGCAAGTCACCTCTTCCTTAACTGTTTATTTCACCATCCTAGACTCTAATACTCTCACTAAAGGAGATATGAATCTTGGCATTGAAGCAAATCAATTTACTTTTTCTTGCGGCCTTGAATAAATTGAAACGAAATCTGGAAGATTTTAACATGTACGGTACATCAAATCACCTTATTTATCATTCAGTTTATGTAATTCTAGTGTAATAGGTTAGAATGTCACTATGTGTAGTGACAGTGACTTTAATGAGCCTCTAACTAGACGCTAGAGCATATATGTTAGTCTCTGTGATCCAACTATTAATATATTTGTGTATGTATAATATCCGAGCTAACTGATTTTGGACTTACTCTATGTACGTGGACAAGTATCTCATATACATGCATGTTCGAAATGTATGTTTTCCTTACGGAAATGGCTTTGATGGTAATTTCTTTGTCCAATCCTTTTGTGTATTTGCTTCAATAAAATTGATTTGAAATATAATGAACTGTTCATGCATTACCGGTTGTGAACACTGGGTCATTTTGCACTAGTGTCTATCTCACTGCTTTTATCTGTGGGAAGATCTTTGTTGTTTCGATCATCCTTGCTTTTGTTGTTGTCTGAACGTAATAATGTTCGATTTTTCCCCGTGTATTCATTGTTGATGGTTATTTACAGCTGTGTGTATTGTTGTCTGTGGTAGAGTATACCAGTGTTGTGGACACCATATGGCGGGTGTTGATCTGTGATTGTAGGACGCATGCCTGGTTGTTTCACATTCAGACCTTCCAAATCCTAATTGTTAAAACATAAAACACACAAAGGTGACTGGTGATATATGCAGTGCTTAGTGTCTGGTTACTGTACATCTCACAGTGACGCCGAGAATATCTGAATACTGTACATCTCATAGTGACGCCGACAATGTCTGGTTACTATACATCTCACAGTGACGCCGACAATGTCTAGTTACTGTAAATCTCATAGTGACGCCGACAATGTCTGGTTACTATACCACTCACAGTCCCGCGGACAATGTCTGGTTTCTATATAACTTACAAGTCATGACCTGGAGAACATTCATTAACCGAAAAATATTACTTAAGATATATATCTAAATATATGTTACGGAATCGTTCTCCTCTGATTTTAATTACTTCAACACCTCATTGTAGACGTATGTGGTTCAAGCCTGTAGTCAGTAAAATATATCACAGCTGATTCATCTTCCATGTAGCGGTACAATTAATAGTTCATCTTTTAATCATAACATTATGATCCGAGTCGCATTGAAATAGTCTCGCATTTATCAACGAGCCGACTGGTTAGAAGCAAACTGATAGTAATTCATTTTTTTGCCTATCATATTTCTTTCTGTCGTTAATATCAGAAAGTAGAGTAATTGTTGTATTTGATTATATTTTATTAGAATTATTCATGCGGTACATGTGAATTGTTTTCTTTCGTAAGAAATACATTAAACTATGTCATCTTATAAAATGCTACATTTTTCTGTGCGAAACATATCGGTTCTTTTCATTTACCGAATGCAATCAATATTTTGGAACACTTTGGTTATAACTATTTACTGAAGTCTCTTCCGAGGAGTTCTTGGTCCTCAGGGAAAAAAGCCCATTACGCTTGGTTCTGTCACTGTCTCTGAAGAGTAAAGGGATGGATTCACCTCTGTAGAGAATCTGTGACGACAAAAAAAAAATGTCATAACATTAGTATTATTAAACCAAAGAGGTTATCTTACAGGTTATTTTTCATCATGATTTTTAATTTAGTTAAATAATCTCATTTGGAAGATACCATTTATCCTGTCTGTTGTAACTACTTGATACGTTATAGCAATCCGTTAACAGTGTACGGAAAGTATACAGATAGCCAGTAATAGTGTATTATGTACGTATGTAACGATTTAAGCAGGACAGTCTTTTACTTCACATTTTGCTTAACCTCTTACTCAGAATATCTAGAGTAATATACCGTGTGCACGGCTAAAATATATTTTCAAATCACTCAGGCTTATAAATATCAATAAAAAAACTAGGAGATATAAACAGATGTAAAAGATTTGGCAACAGCAGTCAACCTGATGTCAAAAGAAACTACATCTGCCGTCTGATTTGTCCTACATTACATAACATATCCTTCTATTGTCAATGCATGGCACCCGACCATGTTCAGGTGGCGCTAATATCAGCAGCTATGTGATAGCACGAATTCCAAAGTCATCATTGTATGACGTCATGATAGTCACTTTCAGTTGTTCTATTTATTGAAGAAAATTACAACTTTGAACATGTAGCGCGATAGTGCAACGTCATAAAATTTGTTTTTTCCAGTACCAGATAATGGAAAAATATATACCTTTATAAATATTTATTAACCTTTATATAGCCTATACATCCACTCCAAACAGTGTTATAGTCCATTATATGTCTTTGCTGGTGTTCATTTGTTCATAACCAGCAAAACAAAGTAAGGAAGCACCTATTTAAAAAGTACAGATATTTTCTGCACACATGACCACATGACCATTTCGTCTAATTAGTACGCATTATCGTTACAAGTGCCAAACTTGAAATAGCATCCTTAAACAGGTAGACTACAGCAAAAGGGAAAGGTGCGTTCTATTAGTGTTAGTTTTACAGCTTTTGGCTACAGGAGGTAGTTTATTCTTAAACTTGAATTTCATGTAAAACCTTCCATCATACAGAGTATTCCCTTTCTTTCAATATCATATAAGCAAACAAGGTCATTGATGTGCAGAACGAAAAAAATAATATGTTTATGTCAATAACGATAGACGTAAATCAACAAATATGAATAATGAAATATCTGATATATAAAGTTATACAAAAAAAAACCCAACAACATAATTTATGAACCAATATCCAATTCCTACGTCATCAGTGAATGTTACTGGAAAACAAACGATTATGAATTTAGCAAGATGTCCTAATTTATGTGTGATATTTTCAGGATAGTGGAACATTTACTCTACTGTTTAAGTAGTGGATCACTCGATACTTATATTACTAATAGGGGAACACTTACTCTACTAGTGGTAAAGTAGTGAAGCACTACATACTTGTATTACTAATAGGGGAACACTTACTCTACTTGTATTAAAGAAGTAGAGCACTGCATACTTGTATTACTAATAGGGGAACACTTAGTCTACTTGTGTTAAAGTAGTAGAACACTACTTACTTGTATTACTAATAGGGGAACACTTACTCTACTTGTGTTAAAGTTTTAGAGCACTACATACTTGTATTTCTAATAGGGGAACACTTACTCTACTTGTGTTAAAGTAGTAGAGCACTACTTACTTGTATTACTAATAGGGGAACGCTTACTCTACTTGTGTTAAAGTTTTAGAGCACTAAATACTTGTATTACTAATAGGGGAACACATACTCTATTGTGTTAAAGTAGTAGAGCACTAAATACTTGTATTACTATTAGGGGAACCATATACATGCGTTAAACCAGTCGAACACTAATACTCTACTTGTGTTTAAATAGTGGAACACTCAACACTTTTATTACTATTAAGGGGATAGTCTACTTGTGTTAAAGTAGTAGACACTAAATACCTGTTTTGCTTATTTTTACCTGTGAAACAAGTAATGGAACATTTATTTCACTTGTGTTGAAGATTAGTGGAACACTCATTTAATCACTACCAAATTTGATTTGAATATCAGTTTGTAGATTAAACAATCTAATTTTCTTTACTTGTGGACTAGGAACAAAAATATTTTGTTCATCATTTTGCTAACGTGTGGAATGACATTCAGTTGTAGGTATTTTATTTTACTGTGATAAATTCTTTTGATTAATGAAATTATTTTGTTATTGTAATAACTATGTGAGTGTTTTGTAGAAATAAAACAATATACAGATGTATATAGTACAGAAGAAAACAAGAGACAAAAATAACAGAAGTGCATTGTAATATTAATGTGTGTCAGAAGTAGTGTCAATCGTTGATAAGCTTCACAGATTTAAAACAAGCTACATTTCCATAGCGGTCATCTGCCATTATGGAAAAGGCAGAAACTAAGTAGGGAGATCTATAGGGCTATTTTTACCGAATGCATTTGTTGATTGAGCTACTACTTCAATTTTTTCGTTATCATAAAATCAGAATACAATAATGTCTAAACTTGTGTGCTGTCAATTAATATAAGCTACTTTTTGTGTTACATACAATTAGTTATGTAGGATTAAAAATCAAGGTGAATGATTAATTAATTATCGCAGATGAAGATGAAGAGAGAAGAGAAAATGGCGAAGATGAAATACCTGTCTACGAAGTATTGACGATATCACTTGACTCGGGTTCCTTGGCGGGTGGTGCTTCGGGAGGTACCAACTTGAAGTGGGGAGTATTGGGCTCTTTATTCGCCGATGATCGAGTAGAGTTGGGTAAAAATCCAAAGCCGCTATATTGCTTGCCATACCAGTCATTGTGGTAATCACCATTGTACTTTCGCACATGGCCATAAGGCCGAGGTCGTCTATACATTGGTGTTCTGATGTATTCATTAGGGTTATGCCATGGGGGAATGTGTGGATTTCCATGGAATGACGGATAATTTTCGGAGTTCTTTAACTTTGGATAGTCAGGCGTTGGTAAAAGAGACCGGGAATGTCCTCTTGGGTTATTTGAAAACTGTGTGTAGAATGTATCTGGCTTTGGGTCAATCAGTATTGGTCTCTCATTTTCCAGAGGCGGAATATGATGATCTCGGAAGACGGGATCGGTTGATGTCAGCAGCGGATCACCATTCACTGGTTCTCTCTTGCGAGAAGAATAAGGAATGTGTTTACTTTCCTCAAAATCTCGTGAGAGATAGCACAGTTTGTCTTTTGTGTCAATATCTGATAGTACTTCAGAAGAACGACGAAATTTTTCTAATAGTTCTCGTTCAAGTCTCAGCCGAGTCACTCTCTCTAGCTGTTTTAGTACGTTAATGGTTCGTGGTAGTGCTGTCGGATCTACGTGACTGAGAAGCCGACTGTCGTCATCATCTTCGTCAGTCGACCTACTCTTGTAATACGAGGGAGGAGACCTTCTAGATCGGTAATCATGGTCTCGATCAACCCGTCGTCTGTCTCGGTCCCGATCGCCTCTCCGGTCATCATAGTCCCGGACAGCCCTTCGATCGTCATGGTGACGGTCACTCCGATGTCTCTCTGATATGTTGAAGTCCCCAATACCGTTGTTAGACAATTCAACCTTTAAATTTGAACCAAACAGATGTTTTCCATTCATTTCTACGGAGGCATTAAGGGCATGTTCAGGATCGTAAAAGTCAATAAAAGCATAACCTCTTGAACCAGGATTCCGAGCGACCCAAACTTTCTTGATTTTTCCAAATTTTTCAAACGTTCTATGAAGCCGGTCGTTCCCCACATCATCCACGAGACCTCCAACATATACTTTGGTTCTCGGCATTTCCAAAGAGCTTGTCGATGTCTGCAGGTCGAAAGAAGAATGTTATATGAATCATTTATGTGACCTGTGTGTTACCCGCAATGTGTTAGCTATGTAGGATTAAATATACGTAACTGGGTATAGTGTTTCGAAGGTAATGTATGATATAAGGCAAGGTAATTTCCCTGCTTTTGTAAGTGTTTTGTTGTATACACAATGCATGAGTACATTTGTTTCAAATTATTAAAACAATGTCAAGTCAATCGTCTTTAACATTATACAATTAATCACTTTCTGAATATTGTTATCTACAAACTGACAGTAAAATGTTAACAAAACAGGGTTGATCATAGAAATAACATTCAAAAATAATGACTTCAAACACACAGTACCAAAGATACAAATATAGATAACAAAATCTTTTGTCTTGTAATCTATATTTGTATCTTTGGTTTTTAAATTCATTCGTTCTTATTAACAAATTTTTCGTATTATATTTGTATTCCTTACTAAGAACAACATGATCAACTTTACTAAACCATGTTTCAATAACTTATCAGCTTTCCATACAGTCCCCATCCTTGATATCCAGGGGTTACGCTCACTTTCGCTCTCTGCACCCCTGTTATATGTCATAGCAAAATTGAAGGCTCGGTGTGCGCCACCTTGTTGACGAGACAAGAAGACTAGTTCGATCCTTTGATGTATATCAAAAGAATCTCGCGGTCATGTAACGGTAAAAATTGACAGGCTTTGAAGTCGGGCGTCCCTCCTTTGCAATCTTCAAAGGACAGGTATCAGCCTAGCGATTGGTCAGTTTTTTTAACTGAGACCAATCAAACAGCTATCGTCGTGCCTTCAATTTTGCTGTGACATATCCCAGGGGTGCAGAGAGCGAAAGTGAGCGTAACCCCTGGATATCGAGGATTTACAGTTCCACACAACGCTAGAGCAACAACATCTTACATTAGAGAATACGTATAGAGTTGAGCACATACATATAGCGTTAACATTCATTCATTTCTGCAGCATACCTATAGTGATCAATATATTGTTCCTGGTAAGAAATAAAAATAAAATACGAGAAATTTGTTAATAAAAACTAGTGAAGTTGATAAGTACAAGAACTGCTTCGTAAATATCTATAGCTAAGTATATATGCTTATATTGTTTGTGATCAAGTCGCGCACCTTGTTTTGAAAGAGAGTGTGCATATAAAAATAATAGTTTGTCGATTTGAGTAGTAAAATGTAAAGCAGCTGGGAAAGCGTCATGAAACCGCTGCGAAGAGGAATGTATATAATTCGTGTGTTCTCATTCTATTAATATTGAGTGTCTAAAATCACAACAATTAATATGTTCACTGTTACACCTTAGTCCAACACCTGAATATGTCAACAAACTTACCTGTGTCTCGCGCGAAGAGCACTTCATAGATGATTTTGACTTTTTAATTTAATAGAGAATATCTGGTGTTTAAGTGACAGCTGGCCTGTGTATTATTTGTGAATGTATAAAATCGATCTTGGGCGATTGGCGATTTGTTGGTGAACGACTTAGGGACACGGATTTGTATCAAGCTGTTTAGACCAGTCCGGTGTGTGCCGTAGCGGTTCTATTGTGATGCTGATTTCTCCGCCCAGTAAACTGAACACGTGTTCAACTTCCCGGTATGGCGAATTAAATACCGGCTTTGTTATATATGGTTTGTATGATATCATATATTCAGAAAGAATAATGGTTAAATAATTGAAATGTAACATCTTCGTATCAATAGTTTTTCTTATTTATGTAACATTGCTGTACCTTATGGATTTATAAAGAATGCAAAACCTTCATACCTCGTGCATTTATCGCTGATGTAACGTCTCCGTACTTCATGAATCTATCTTGAATATGATATTTCCGTACCTAATAACTTAGTCCTTGTGTAGTTATTTTTGATGAAATATTTCTGTACCTCTTATATTTACCTTTGGTATAATATTTCTGTACCGCGTCTATCTAGCTTTGATATAATATTTCTGTACCTCGTATATTTATCTTTGATAAAACATTGCTTTACCTCGTATATTCATCTTTGATAAAACATTTCTGTACCTCGTATATTTATCTTTGATAAAACATTTCTGTACCTCGTATATTTTTCTTTAATATAACATTTCTGTACCCCGTATATTTATCTTTGATATAATAGTTCTGTACCTCGTATATAACATTTCTGTACCTTTTATATTAACTTTGATGTAACATTTCTGTACCTTTTATATTAACTTTGATGTAACATTTCTGTACCTCGTATATTTATCTTTGATATAACATTGTCTGTACCTTTTATATTAACTTTAATATAACATTTCTGTACCTCGTATATTTATCTTTGATATAACATATCTGTACTTCGTATATATATATATCTTTGTTTTTCACGCTGTAAGTTCTTTTTTGAAAGATAGACCTGATAGATTTGACAAATTCTTAAAGTGATTCCAAATAATTAAGCTGTCGTTTTGTCCATTGTTTTGCGTAGTCTTCTAGAACAAAAACATCACTATCTTGAAATTCACATTCCAATTGATAGAATGAGTCTTTCGATACTTTAGACCTTTCATGAAAACCCCTCATAGCTTTGCATTATGAATGATATTTAGATCACCATTTACTACGTTTAGCTTGACCATATTTGGATGGGAATGCGGAACATGAACATGGTGAAGGGAGAGTAAGATGAAAAACTTGAAAGCAGTAAGTTCAGACGAATTATAAGAAATGTTCGGGGTACTTTTGTATGTGAAGTACGGAAGTGGGTTAGCTTTGATGAATGTCTGATGTAGATCATCATCTATGCAGTTGTTTGTTGTCGTTGTTGACTTCATACATTTCCGAGTTACCGGCGATTCCTGAAACTCTGTACGAACAGGCATTATTAATTGGTTTTGTGCCAAATAAGCAACAGTCAGTATGTTTATTATGTCTCCAGGGTAGTTTCCATCTAAATAACGAACAGTAATAGACAGAATGGAATGGTCAGGGAGGTAGATTGATTTTTTTCCATTGTTCACTTTCGAACAATGACATTTTTTTTTCGGTTTCGTAATAGTCTTTCTGCCTCACCAATACATACTTACCACAGAAAGCATACTCAATATCATAAACACTATTGGAGGTCCTGTAATTTATGGGTTCAAAGCCTCTTTTAAAAAGATGATTTTTTAGTGAAGGGACTGCTTTAAGTCCTGTCAGTTAAAGTCAGTTATAAGTACACTGCTGATCTTACAATCCTTAACTCCACCAAATTTTTGAAAATTTAAAATCTCTGAGGTGTCTGAACTTTAAAGAAATCAATTATCTCTATTTTGCATTTTGTACGAACGAGTCTGCGCTTTTATGAATATATACTTCCAGAGTTTGGACAATGATAGTATTTTTAATGTCATTGAGGACAATCCGTAGGGTAAAGTGATAATTTATATATTACTATTCTTTTATTTTTCAACATGATGCTAAGATGTGTTTACTGCAATGTTAAATTCTCAAGGACTTTTATGGGGATTATTCTTTTCTAAAATGTGGTGAGTTTGAAGCCTGTTTATTGTTCATGATTTATGTCCATTTGAGTGAGTTTAATCTCAAATGTAACTTACTAGCTTCAATGTTTGGTATGTTTCTAAAACTTTTTGAAATGGCCTTCATTATAGCTGACCAGATTTTATTAACCGAAAGAAAATGTTAGCTGTGCTAAATTGGATATTTCTTGTGTTCGATAACACTTGTGAATTAGATAACGAGAAATAGTCATAATATCTATAGCAGTTATGAAAATAATGAAACCTATATCGGTTACAGGAGTGATGACAACATGACATGTTAGTCAGACTTTTTATTCCCTTGCGTTGTCTTCAACCAACGCTGATTTATTCATCCATAAAAAAACACATTTTTACTATGTTTTTTTCTAGTTTAAAGAAACATAGTGAAAAAAGTTTATATCAATACATTTTTTTTATTTCTCTAATTTGAAGGAACTGTGTTTTCTTTATAAGAATATATAAATCTTGGATTAAGAAGAAAGCATAACTTTTTATTCAAGATGAATATGTAACTGTTTAGTATAGAGGAACGTGTAAAATTTTAGATTAGAGGATGATATTGTAATATTTCAGTTTAGAGGAATATATGATTTACGACTAAGAGGAAAATATAAGTATCTTTTAGATAATGATATAAATTGTTTTAGTTTAGAGGAATATATAAATATGTTTGGTTTAAAAAAATATACAACGTTATAGTTTAACATTCAAATTAAGAAGAACATATAACTTTCTAAAGGAAAATATAGGTTAGAAAAATATATAACCTTTTAGTTCAGAGGACTTAATCACTTTCAAATTCTCAAATAAGATAAATTCAATGTATATCTTTTTATATTTCAACGTTTTTATAACTTTTAGTTTACAGGAGTACAGATCTTCTTATGTTAGAGGAATATATAGCTGTTTGTTTTTACTTCTGAGGATTTATAACTTTATTTTATTTTTTCACTTCAAAAGTACAATGACCTTCAGAACAATATAACTCTTAATCATTTAAAGATGTATATGATTCTTTATTCAAGAGGCATGTACATCTGCATATTTAAATGAAATGCTTAAGAGGAAAACATTTTTATTTAAGAGAAATCTCTAACGATTTAATAGACGGATATGCAAAGCCTTTAGTTAAAAGGAATACAAGGCATATAGCTAAAAAAAAATATTGGAAGAAGATATAACGTATCACATTTCTTCTAGTTTTGAGAATATACAACTGTTTTACTTTAAATGAATATTATATATGATATTTGCATTATAACTTTACATGAATTTCAGGAGAATAAATAACTGGGTTTTTTTATTTAAAAGGATATGTACTTGTTAGTATAGAGGAAAGTGTAATTTGTTAATAACGAGAAATGTGAATATATCTTTTCCGGTTAAAAGGAATTTGATTGTAACTCATTTTAGTGATAAGCATTGTTTGAAAACCTGTTTATACAGGGCTTTGATCAGGACAAGTTTGTTGGACTTAAATAAAATACACATACAACTAAACAAGGGAATTAATTGAAACTGGACGTTTACTTTTTTTATAATTGACAACTGAAATATATCTTTCAAAAACTTAAAGCAATAAATTTAGTTAGTCCTTAGGTCTGAATGAAAAAGTCACACATCTAAAATAATATTACAATACAGCATAATACTAAAACTGAGGGAGCATGATGATGAGTAGTTGGCTTGGCATTGATCGGAGTATAATGAAAAACACTGACCACTGTCCATTTTTGTTAATCACTGTCAGTGTCCGGAGCTACTGATGTGTACAATATGTCCATTGGGAATTTTCAGCTTTTTCAGCATTTTTTTTTCAAAGATTGCATTTTCATTTCTACACCCCAATCTATTATTATTTTATTTTGTCGTTAGTCATTCTTGTGCCTTTATGTATTGTCAAAATGAAATGAATTAGAAAAACTCTTTACGTTATAATCAGCTTCTGAAGTAAACGTCGCCTATTCCACGGCAAAATATATTTTAACGATATCAGTGTGTGCTGATGAAATAGGGCTCGAGTTCTCGTGTTTATAATAATGTTACGGTGTGTACAACCGTTGTATTAAGAAGAGAAACTGGTGTCCATTTTCGTCAAATAACTATGTTTGATGTGGCTAGTTAAGTGACAAATAATTGAGCTGCTCAAAATTGACTACCACGCTATCAGACGAATGTATCGCTTCAATGCTTAGGTATTCGTTCTAGATAAGATCAAATAAAACTACGAATGACAAATTGGTTTGCTTGCAAGTTTCCTGAATAGAATGATGTGAATGGTCGACCCATCTGGTATCGCTAACACAGTGGTATGCTGGTGAAGCGGGTGTACCAGGATAACCAACGCCTCCCGTGTGCTATAGAATAGGTCTTTATTTGTGTATCTATTATAACACTCCACGTGTCACCAATCACCATACACCTATTTGTCATTTTTTTCTATTTTTACTGCTGGAAGATAATTACTGTGGATGATTCATATCGATTAGATACAGAATCCAGTATATTATAACACTCTAAATACAATAGAATACTTTAATCATTTCTGAAAGGAATTGCTAAAACTACTATATAACAGCTGTTATGTGAAAACACACTATTTCATTATGATATTCAATATGCCTTTGATCGTTCTAGAGCTACATACTGGCGTGTATATGACAGTCCTCTATATACTTAGTACTCCGTATAATGAACAACAAACTCCTTATATGCAATTAGCTGCTCGGCCTTTAGAATAAACCGCACGTGCTTCTCAACCTATACGATTGCCACGTACCTACAGGACAAATATTTCCCGCTATTCTACGAACCGCGGGAAGTTTAAATTATCTTGGTTGTCACATGCGCAGACAGGATATTTCAGTCTCTTAGTTCTTAGTACCAAATATATTTCTGTTAAATAAACTGACATTTTTCGTTCTTTTAGAGTGTTTTTATTCTTTTATCAAAAATCGGCTAAAAAGTCAATTCATTTATTTTAAGAAAAAGTATTTTTTGAGACTGAATTTGTCTGTGTACTTCTCGTGGTGCATAACATATCTTCTTTTTAGAGGACATGTTTTCGTATTTGTGAGAACTCAAAATGAGTTCTCTTTCCTCAGGTAGTTTTTTTTTCTATCAGGGTCCGGATTTGCCTGTGTGTCGAAACCGCCGTATGTTCCATATGCATTTTCTTAATTGTATTTATAACGAACTGGTGATGAAATTATAATACGAACGTATAGTTCCTTTTATGTAGGTTGATTAAAAATTAACAAGCACAAATGATAATTCTTTTACTAAATGCAGCCATTTTTTCATTTATTAAATTTTTCATGTACATTTTCACATTCTTTTTCTTTGCAAAACGTACAAAACAAACAGCAAAGAAACGGAAAAACCCATCTTAGAGACAACAAGTGTAACATGGAGTGCGAGACGTATTGTAGTCAGCCCTCTTGATCTGGTGGATAACAGTCGAACATTTTCTTTCTGGCAAACAGAATTGATTTTCCATAGTGTAAACTATACTATTTTCATAGGAATTAAAAAATGTCAGAGTGGGTTTTTAGTCGTTTTATCTTTGACAATGTTTCTTTCGTGTGTCACTGGGTTTCAGTCGTACAAAAATAATTTGACCATGTTTCTGTCCAGTGTCACTGAGTTTCGGTCGTAGTAAAGTCATTTTACCATGTTTCTGTCCTGTCATTGGGTTTCGGTCGTATTAAATTCATTTGACTTTGTTTCTGTCCTGTCACTGGGTTTCGGTCGTATTAAATTCATTTGACCATGTTTCTGTCCTGTCACTGAGTTTCGGTCGTATTAAAGTCATTTGACCATGTTTCTGTCCTGTCACTGGGTTTCAGTCGTATTAAATTCATTTGACTATGTTTCTGTCCTGTGTCATTGAGTTTCGGTCGTATTAAAGTCATTTGACCATGTTTCTGTCCTGTCACTCGGTTTGGGTCGTATTAAAGTCAGTTGACTAGGTTTCTTTCGTGTGTCACCGGGTTTCAGTCGTATTCAAGTCATTTGACCATGTTGCTGTCGTGTGTCACTGGGTTTCAGTCGTATTGAAGTCATTTGACCATGTTGCTGTCGTGTGTCACTGGGTTTCAGTCGTATTGAAGTTATTTGACCATGTTGCTGTCGTGTGTCACCGGGTTTCAGTCGTATTAAAGTCATTTGACCATGTTTCTTTCGTGTGTCACCGGGTTTCAGTCATATCAAAGTTATTTGACCATGTTGCTGTCGTGTGTCACTGGGTTTGGGTCGTATTCAAGTCATTTGACCATGTTGCTGTCGTGTGTCACTGGGTTTGGGTCGTATTCAAGTCATTTGACCATGTTGCTGTCGTGTGTCACTGGGTTTGGGTCGTATTCAAGTCATTTGACCATGTTGCTGTCGTGTGTCACTGGGTTTGGGTCGTATTCAAGTCATTTGACCATGTTGCTGTCGTGTGTCACTGGGTTTGGGTCGTATTCAAGTCATTTGACCATGTTGCTGTCGTGTGTCACTGGGTTTGGGTCGTATTCAAGTCATTTGACCATGTTGCTGTCGTGTGTCACTGGGTTTGGGTCGTATTCAAGTCATTTGACCATGTTGCTGTCGTGTGTCACTGGGTTTGGGTCGTATTCAAGTCATTTGACCATGTTGCTGTCGTGTCACTGGGTTTCAGTCGTATCAAAGTCATTTGACCATGTTGCTGTCGTGTGTCACCGGGTTTCAGTCGTATCAAAGTCATTTGACCATGTTTCTTTCGTGTGTCACCGGGTTTCAGTCGTATCAAAGTCATTTGACCATGTTGCTGTCGTGTGTCACCGGGTTTCAGTCGTATCAAAGTCATTTGACCATGTTGCTGTCGTGTGTCACCGGGTTTCAGTCGTATCAAAGTCATTTGACCATGTTGCTGTCGTGTGTCACCGGGTTTCAGTCGTATCAAAGTCATTTGACCATGTTGCTGTCGTGTGTCACCGGGTTTCAGTCGTATCAAAGTCATTTGACCATGTTGCTGTCGTGTGTCACCGGGTTTCAGTCGTATCAAAGTCATTTGACCATGTTGCTGTCGTGTGTCACCGGGTTTCAGTCGTATCAAAGTCATTTGACCATGTTGCTGTCGTGTGTCACCGGGTTTCAGTCGTATCAAAGTCATTTGACCATGTTGCTGTCGTGTGTCACTGGGTTTCAGTCGTATCAAAGTCATTTGACCATGTTGCTGTCGTGTGTCACTGGGTTTGGGTCGTATCAAAGTCATTTGACCATGTTGCTTGTAATGACCACGTCAACAATGTTTGCTTGTTTTGCGCTATGAGATGGTGTTTTATTGTGCTCGTTTGTGTGTCCTGTTAACACTGCCCCAGTTCTCGGTATAAGAACGGGTGTTGTTCGATAGAGCAGAAGAGGCTTAACCTTCTGGTCTTATTCTCCTTGTACTTTTTCAAAATCCACATAAATCTTCACTTTGTTCATATTTTGCCCGAGTTTTATAGATGAAGCAGTGATGTGTACGTCAGCCTCCACATCCAGGGAATGGGGAACGCAGGAGTTATCAGTATGTCGGCCTCCAACACGCAATTCAGGATTGTAGTGGTGATGATTTGTATGTCAGCATCCATTTGATCTGTGTTGAATGAACTTACAGTCCTTCATCAACAATTTTCTAAGCTATATCATGAGATTGTGTATAAATTAAAAGACCTAGGCATGTGGATCGGTGGTCAACGATGTTGACACAAGTTATTTTAGATAATGATGACGATTCACAGTTCTCTTAAAGTTGTTTAGAATTCTTGAAATTTCACATCTAATTGATGCCATTCCGTGAATAAAAAGTATCAAAGAATCCATGGTGGTTAAGAGTTCGAAAAATGGTTTAAATAAATGGAAAATCCTCCATCAAACCGTTATTTGATAGGGCATGTGGGTAATTCTTGCATCCAATATTGGAAATATCATCAGTGTCCTTACTTGATAACTGAAAACCTACGGTTGGTCAATTTCTAGTCTCCGTTAGGTGTTGATGGAGTATTATAATCACAAGCTCTTTACTTTCCATAATAACAGTTTGAGGCTTTGTCAGCTAAATTCACTTCATCGGTACTGATTCCCCCATTAAATCAATTATGATTGTAGAAATAAAGGTGTCCAGACTTGAAAAGTATTCTGATAATACAATAAATACAAAAACACAAGCTTGTGTGTAAAAATTGTACTTGTAATTTTTGTAATATTTAATCCTTAGATCTACCACACAATATTCAGCAAGAATATTGCAAGTATTTATTATTAAAATGAAGACAATCTGGGGATGAAATTAACCTTGGTAAATATAACTAATTGTTACTTCAGTCATCCCTTCTTGATCATTACTTAATGAAAGAGCACACAGACTAGCACTCTAACCCCTTCCACACACGACTGTACTCAAACATTCACAGAGACCAATGCTGAACGTGGCCACCATAGCAGTGTAGACAGTCGACTGTGAAATAGTAGTACAATCCGGATTAACAATATATAGAGATATAAAACAACAACGATACATTTTGTACTTATATTCTCTATAGTCAACATGCCACAGACAACAATTTAATGAAAACATTGACAACAAATTTTAGACATCTTTGAGGAATTGAAGTCAAACCAATAAAAAAAAAATCAAATATTGTACACAATGATAATTAACTATTTCATTACTTTGACTCGCAGGCTTCAATTTGACTTCAAAACCTCAAATTGCCCTTATCAAAGTAAATTTACATTCTATAAATTAGCTCATTATACATTTAAAGGAAGTTTCAGCTGCCCAGAAAATATTTCACATGGACAGTTTTCAAAGAATAAAACATGAAATGCAAGAAAAAGTTACCCTAATATTTAAACATATGTAGTTCATAATGTTTAACATCAAGACAAAAATAATCTGATGGAGGCATAATTTGCCATAATTCTTAAAATATAATCTAAGATCTGTGGTCAGAAACCAGGAGTTACTGGGTATTGTAACAAAAGGTAATGTACTAAAACGTAGGTGCTTACACACTTGTGTAACAAACAGGGAACAGAATGGTACCTGATGCAGTATCAGATCACTACCTCCTATTACCTTTCCACTTCAAAATTGTCATTAACAGGGAAATACTTTCCACAGCCCTTCCAACTTCACCTTGTCAGTCACAAGGAGAAGCATATCTCCACTCACTCGAACCCTTCCGTCTTAAATTTATCAGTTACAAGGAGTGCTAATATCTCCTAAACCCTGTGTGGTGACCACCCAAAACTAATAACTGTTACAGTGCCACCTCCCCTCAACCCAACCCAATGCAACTCCACTACTGAACCAGGTCATGCCATAATATTCAGAACATCATATAAAATAGCTCCTTCCACACAAACACTTCAAATTCAAAAAACAAACATCTGCCTACATCTACAAATATCACTGCATCAATCAAGAATAAGATTACTGAGTTTGTAACAAGGTAGTGACTTACTTGCATATTCAGCAAAATTTTCAAACAAATTTTATAAAACAAGTTAATTCTGATCAAACACATGAAGTATTAGTCAGTGATGCTTTATGATGTAAAACCAAGTAAACAAGTCGTCATTGTACGAATTAAAAAAATGGTGCAGTATTAATTGAAAATGGGGGAAAGAAAACATTGATTTAAAAGGAGACAAAAACTTTTTGTTTGAAATCTGAATGATTGTAAAACTAGTGAATACCACACAACATCACTTTGTTAAGACATGGGCGTGCAAGGATGCCATATAAAAGCAAGACCAAGTTGATCAGTGTTTCCTTGGCTTCACTGGGGGCAACATTGCACACACAAAGCAGTGCACAGATATCAACAATTCTGACAAATGCTCATTTAACATTAGACTGGTTGTTTATCAATTTGGCATTTGTCTGGACACAGCAAAGGTGGGAACAAAATCATTCTTAACTACAGTCACAACATCCAACAATTAGACAATCACAATAACATCTCTCATCGATATAAGCAACACATTCCATGACTTTCACACTCACGCTTTATGAGAATATCACAATATTGCATGACTATATCACAAATCGTACTGGTTGAAGCCCTTGTGGGGCAGCACTTGCTTTGCCTGTCTGACAGACAACAAATCACTCCTCACCACCAAGTCCGTGGGACGTCATCCTAGTATTGTAAGCATAGATAACAAAGTCAATGGACACACTTGAAGGAGTGAAAAAAATTAAAACAGAAATTACAGATGAGATTTGGCCATTTGCAGCAAATCAAATGCTCAGTCACATTAACTGCCATGTGGTCAATTCCATAATATTAGTACAATACAAAAATCAATGTTTGTCTGCCACACAACAGTGTCTAGGTGTGTGACTAAATAATAAAGTAGGGTGTGTCAAACATCCTGTCTAGTGGCACCGCACTTATCCACCACATACATCTTCAGCACACAAAATAGTTAACAAAATATTGATCTTCGATCAGTGTTATACAGGTTACATTATTGTTCTGTCAAAAGTAAAATAAATACTCTGCAACACTGTGGCAGAATCTTAAATCTGCTCTAAAGTTGCACAAAGAATAAATATCTCCCATGCTCCTACTGTACAGTTTTGTCATGGGTTAACATAATAAAAACATCTCATCATCATAAGTCTTTTTTGCTGTACTTTTTATCAAGGCCGAGACCAATTCTGTAAAGTTACAAACATGGTTAGACTTTGTTTTGGTCACAAACCTGATAGCATTGATACACATTGTATATCCCTGTAAATCGTTGCTATATTAAAGATACAACAACTTATGGCCACGGCTACAGTTTCTGCCTCGATACATCATTTTCCGGTACTGACTATGAACAGTCAGAATAAGGTCAATTTCCACTGCTGGCTACCATCATCAGTATGGAACCACATACTGGAGCACTAGAAATCATGTAACTATTCCCCGACTAATCACACAGCATGTAGCTTGGTCAATTTTCCGGTGTTGCCTAAACGATCACCTCCTGTCAAATGTTGTTACATGGGTCAGTTTGGGAAGTGGAGGGTCCCGCGACAGCAGCTTCCAGGTCTCCAATTGAAGCCGAGGTGTTTAGGCTGTTATCTGTCTGGTACTGTTTCCCTTTAGGGTCTATGTCTCCCTCCTCTTCCTCCTCTAGTCCTTCTGGGGGCTTCATCTTGGCATATTCCTCACGCAACTGGTTATAGTGTCGCTAAACAGGGCGAGACAAAACAGTTTTTTTTTCAAATTTAAGATTTGTTTGAATCAACAGAAACAATAATCAAAATGGGTTACACATATTACGCAATTTTATTAGTGTTTTCTTCCAAATACTTCATGATTCATACAAAACAATGAACTTAATCTACATCTTACTTTTTTTGTCAAAATTAGCAATACCCATATCTATAGCATAACCATTTATTTCCATATTGTGGTATACTATTAGAGTCTTAAAATAATAAATTACCTTCAGAGCAAGGGTACTGTGAGCGATTGTGCGCCCTGTTCTCTTGTCGTTACAGTAAGACTCCATCTCAGCTATCCAGTGCTCACACTGCCGCAAGATGTGATGGCGTTTGAGCCAGTTGTGTCGATGGACTACCTCCTTGAAGCAAGGTGTTGGGTTGCGTACCTGCTCCAGCATAGCCCATTTAACAGTAGCCTGCCGGATATTAGCATCATACTCTCGTGAGCTAGCAGTCCCTGAGGTTGTGCCACGTGACCTTTCATATCCTGGTTCGTTGAAGTATGGTTCTGATACCAATATTAATGACTGGATGGACACAAGCACCTAAGATTAAAAAAAAGAGAGGAAATGATAGAAAAAATGACAGGTTCATCAATTTACATAGTGAATTATGTTGAGAGATGTCCTATCTCCTCTATTGTCTAAAGAACAAAAAAACTGATCTAGATTTTAGATGAAGTTCACGAAAATAGCACACAACACACAGTCCAATAATATTTAACAAAATCTTTGTCTATATTTTCCGATGACTGTATAAATTTTATCCTATAGTATCTTTCCCACAAACCTATGTTTAGGGATGGTGTAATGCATCTCTCCCACAAACCTATGTTTAGACTGCTTGAACAACGTTAAATTTGGCATATATTTTTATCATTAGAATATCAATACCAAGTCAAGCTTGAAGCATGTTACTTGATCATGAACTATTTTTACCATCTACAAAACCTTGCATATTTCTTGTATCTCTGAAACTGAATTTGAGATGCCTGTTCAATACATTTTATTATTATTCCATGAAATAGACAAACACATTTTATTTTGTTTTGAATGCAAGGTAGTGTCAATCACCCTCTGAAAATAGGTAACAATGATGTCAAGGCCATTGCATTCTGATGTCAGCAACAAACAAAATACGGTATTTTCTATTAGTGATGATTCTAAATATTTCAGTTAATAGACAGATGGAAATCGGTAATAAAGGTCAGGTATTGAAATACAACACATGTCTCTTTTCCCCCAATTGTGTAGCATATCAGAGAAAAGTGAAACATGGCATAAAAATGGGTATTCCAGTTTTACTGGCAAGGGGCTAAAACATTAAAGAAAATATTCTGTATACCTGTAAAAAGCTAGATGTGTTTGAATTCCATTTCTCTTCTGGTCTGCCATGCCATGTGTTCAATACACTCAAACAAACCTAGGGTGGAAGTGACAAAAATGGAAACATCACTGACATTTCATATCCTCAAAATGCAACAATGTCAATGTCTAAAACAAACACTCTCTTTGAGTATTGGGTAACTTATCCCAATAATAGTTAATATAAAATAATCATAAACTAAGTGTTTGACACTGATCAGTATGCTTTGCATAGTACCATATTTGACATTAACATTTTACTGTGTTCTAACAGCCAAACATTTTACTGTGTACTAACAGCCACACATTTTACTGTGTTCTAACAGCCACACATTTTACTGTGTTCTAACAGCCACACATTTTACTGTGTACTAACAGCCACATATTTTACTGTGTACTAACAGCCACACATTTTACTGTGTACTAACAGACACACATTTTACTGTGTTCTAACAGCCACACATTTTACTGTGTACTAACAGCCACACATTTTACTGTGTTCTAACAGCCACACATTTTACTGTGTACTAACAGCCACACATTTTACTGTGTACTAACAGCCACACATTTTACTGTGTACTAACAGCCACACATTTTACTGTGTTCTAACAGCCACACATTTTACTGTGTACTAACAGCCACACATTTTACTGTGTACTAACAGCCACACATTTTACTGTGTACTAACAGCCACACATTTTACTGTGTACTAGCAGCCACACATTTTACTGTGTACTAGCAGCCACACATTTTACTGTGTACTAGCAGCCACACATTTTACTGTGTACTAACAGCCACACATTTTACTGTGTACTAACAGCCACACATTTTACTGTGTACTAACAGCCACACATTTTACTGTGTACTAACAGCCACACATTTTACTGTGTACTAACAGCCACACATTTTACTGTGTACTAACAGCCACACATTTTACTGTGTACTAACAGCCACACATTTTACTGTGTACTAACAGCCACACATTTTACTGTGTACTAACAGCCACACATTTTACTGTGTACTAGCAGCCACACATTTTACTGTGTACTAGCAGCCACACATTTTACTGTGTACTAACAGCCACACATTTTACTGTGTATTAACAGCCACACATTTTACTGTGTACTAACAGCCACACATTTTGCTGTTAAGGTGGAATCGACAATATTTCTACAATGATTGTTATCAAAAAAACAATCACTGTAGCCAACTGGCTTATTGCAAATGTTTGTATAATGGAAAGAGATTGAAAACCTTAATTATGAAACAAGATAAATATAAAAACGTCATGTTATACACTATATCTTTATATATACATGTACAAAAGTTATCGTTAGAATAGGCTTGTTACATAAAAAGAAAACAAATGTGTTCACTGGTATGAAAATTAAATACCTATTCTTAACTATGTAATATGTCTCACCTTGCCATCATTGTATAAATTGGGATTAAATCTAATGGTATGATTTCCAGTGGTTTCTAGGTTGATGAATGGTGGAGAGTTTGGGTAGTCCTGTGGGAAGTACACATCAAACTCGAAGCAGCCGTTCTCATAGGGAGTGTCAGCAGGACCAGTGATCATCACCTGAAAGGCATACACACTCATTACACTCATCCAAAATACATTTACAGTAAGCTAGAAAGTGCCTATAAGACATTAATGCCCCCTCCGCTCTTTAGTTGAAATATAAATAGCAACAGTGACCTTGAGACCCTGAAATTCAAACTAATCTGAGGTGTTCTCATATTGTCTTTTTTTTTTATAAACTTTGATAAATATGTTAAGATATGAAGTCAGTCAAGTCATGAGAATGAATCACAGCGTGACAGACCAGACATTGGTGACGCTATATGCCTCCCCACCTCAACCCTCTATTTAAATGGCCTGCACATATGAAGTCTGAATATTAAACTAACTATAGTGCCACTGAAGATGTTTATCTTCGAACAGTAGAAAGCTAACTGGTGCACATTTCAATACTTCACAATCATCAAAATATAGGTTTATACAAAATATTAAAGATTGTTCTTTTTAACATTGTAAAATCATATCACTTCACTTTGCTTTCAATTAAATATGTATTTACAATTTTGATTTATATGTACTGGTAATTGTTGTTCTTTCTGAACACAAACCTACCCTGTAGAATTTACTTTCTTTACTGTACAAACAGTATTGCTATTTTTTTTTTATTTCTATGTCTTAAAACTAAATCCTACCTTCATGATGTCAAGACGTTCCTCATCACAGCGGACAAACACACAGCTACCGGCTGAGAGGGGTAGTGAGGTAGACAGAGTGACAGCCTCCTGAGCGAGGCGACGTGTGCGGGCTGGGTTGTTGATTTCACCAGCTGCCTTCACATTGTTCTCGTAGTGGTGCGGTGATGTAAACTTGATCCCATTACCATCATCTATTACCAAGTCTGAGGTATCTGTTGAAAAAAGGCAACAACTTCCATATAACAATGCACTTTTTGCAGTTACTATTCATCTAGGCCGTCATTACCTCCTCTGTGTTGATCAGATATCATATCATGTTTATTTAGCCTACTATGTTTCAAAGAAATCTGTCAAAAAATGTAGGAGATCTCCGGACAAAAAATTCAAATACTGAAATGAACAAATGGGAATCACTTTTGGAAAAATTGTCGAATCAAAATTCTTTTTAGGGAGACACAACTTCATATCCTGATTATAATGTATACCAAGTTTCAAAGAGATCCGTTGAAAAATGTAGGAGTAGATTATTGGACAAATATCAAATACTGAAATGAACAAAGGGCAATAACTTTTGGAAAAATTGTCGAATCAAAATTCTTTTAAGACAGACACAACTTCATATCATGATTATAATGTATACCAAGATCGGTCGAAAAATGTAAGAGGAGATTGCCGGACAAACAAAAGTTTATGCTGGCCGGACAACACCATACCATAATACTCCCGTCAAATTTGACGGGCGTTTGAAAATGTAATATTGTATTTATAGTCTAAAATGAATTGTACATGTATGAATGATCATTTTTTATTTTCATTTTATTAAGACTTGATACAGGAGGTAAATTCGTCTGAAAATTTTTAAGCAGCATTTTTACTGCTTGTGCAAGTTCAGTTCAGTTAAGATTTTAGACATCTAAGAAGTACACTACCAGTGAATACTGCAGATGTAAATAAAGGGACATACCAAATTGGAGCACCTTCATGGCCTCAATGTATTTCCTGTCCTGGGTTTCCTTGTATGACAGACTGTCCAGGGCAGTCTCTTCATTGTCTATACTACTGTTGTCACACACTGCAAAATATCACATGGTTTTATAGTTGTACAGCTTGGTAGATTGCAATGACCTGGGGAAAATTCTATGGCCGACAGCATAGCTTGGTTATAACTTCCAGCCAGCAGGCTGATATACTGCATATGGTACTATGACGGCCTCCTAACCATATGTACTATGACGGCCTCCTAACCATATGGTACTATGACGTCCGCCTAACCATATGGTACTATGACGGCCTCCTAACCGCAGGCTGATATACTGCATATGGTACTATGAGGCCTCCTAACCATATGTACTATGACGGCCTCCTAACCATATGGACTATGACGGCCTGCTAACCATATGGTACTATGACGACCTCCCCACCATTTGGTACTATGACGACCTCCCCACCATATGGTACTATGACGACCTCCCAACCATATGGTACTATGACATCCTCCTAACCATATGGAACTATGACGGCCTCCTAACCATATAGTATTATGACGTCCTCCTAACCATATGGGACTATGACGTCCTCCTAACCATATGGTACTATGAAGGGGTACTATGACATCCTCCTAACCATATGGCACTATGATGGCCTCCTAACCATATGGTACTATGTCGGCCTCCTAACCATATGGTACTATGAAGGGGTACTATGACATCCTCCTAACCATATGGTACGATGACGGCCTGCTAACCATATGGAACTATGACGGCCTCCTAACCATATAGTATTATGACGTCCTCCTAACCATATGGTACTATGAAGGGGTACTATGACATCCTCCTAACCATATGGTACGATGACGGCCTGCTAACCATATGGAACTATGACGGCCTCCTAACCATATAGTATTATGACGTCCTCCTAACCATATGGGACTATGACGTCCTCCTAACCATATGGTACTATGAAGGGGTACTATGACATCCTCCTAACCATATGGAACTATGACGGCCTCCTAACCATATAGTATTATGACGTCCTCCTAACCATATGGTACTATGAAGGGGTACTATGACATCCTCCTAACCATATTGTACTATGATGGCCTCCTAACCATATGGTACTATGTCGGCCTCCTAACCATATGGTACTATGACGGACTCCTAACCATAGGGAACTATGATGGCCTCCTAGCCATATGGTACTATGAAGGCCTCCTAACCATATGGTACTATGACGTACTCCTAACCATATGGTACTATGACGGCCTCCTAACCATAGGGAACTATGATGGCCTCCTAACCATATGGTACTATGAAGGCCTCCTAACCATATGGTACTATGACGGACTCCTAACCATATGGTACTATGACGGCCTCCTAACCATATGGAACTATGACGGCCTCCTAACCATATGGTACTATGAAGGCCTCCTAACCATTTGGTACTATGACGACCTCCTTACCATATGGTACTATGACGGCCTCCTAACCATATGGTACTATGACGTCCTCCTAACCATATGGTACTATGAAGGGCTCCTAACCATATGGTACGATGACGGCCTCCTAACCATTTGGTACTATGAAGGCCTCCTAAACATATTTATCTATGTTTTTTTTTTTATGTAGTCCTTTTGACAGAAAGTTAATTGACTATTGAATATTAATTTGTGTTCTACAAAACTTACACATGAAATTTATGAGCTATAGAATATGTGATAGCACAACTTTTCAGTTAATAGTAAGCTTATACTAAGTGGTCTCCTAAATGATATGATATAGTGCAAATAAATAAAGTCTATTTCGCTGTTAAGTGTTACCTGTTGATTTCTGTAGCCTCTCTGTGGCCACTTTAACAATGTGTGCAGTCTCCTGGATGTTTGGTATGAGTAGGGCAAGACCTTCATTCTCCTCCTCATCTCCAGCCTGGCCGTTCTTACCTTTATTGGACCTACAGAAAAACATGCACACAGAAGGTAGTATCTTCAACACCATTTGTATGCTGATTTTCTTTTTAGTATAGAAGGTAATTTCATTTAAAGCTTTTTTTTTAATTTTGTTTTTGTGAAAATTCTCTAATAAGAATCAAGCTCTTTCTTGACCAATATGATCTATAGGATTCTGTCTGAAAGGGTAAAATAAAATTGCACTTACTTGAGACGGCTTGCATAGGTGTCCACACACACCCTCATTTTATCCAGCAATATCCCTACAGCTGCTGTGGAGTCAGTGTTGTTTTCCTTATCCAAGGGCAGCAGAAGTGGCACAAGGGTGGGGCACACGGCAATCCCCCGTAAAAGTTCCAACAGTGAACGGTACAGAGGGATATGGCGTGCCATGTCCAGCACAGAGTCATTCCTAAGGTATGATGAGATTGCTGGCACCAAACAGGACTGGCTTAGCAGCTCAGGAATATTGGGTGGGAGGAGCATCTTCTCTGAGGGAGCTGTGTAATCTAAATCCTCAAAGCATTTTGGGACCTCACCACTTGGATTTACATAGCTTGCCAAGACCTGCAAATTATTAAAACAATGTTGACATTAGGTTTACCATCAGTTGATCAAAATATGCTGCACAGGGCTTTATCAGTGTGGAGTTAGATGTTAACATTAATTTCAAGTATCTTTAGCAATTATAGACAGTAATTTTGAACGTAACGTAAACAGGAAGGTTCTGTGACAACTAAGTGATGCACCATAGGTTTACCACAATTCCTCAATTATGTAGAAAGTGCATTATTTGACATTCAAAAGAAAATGAATGGACCAGGTTAGATAACATAGTACAAGGATAGTGTGTTACCATATATTATGGAACACAGCCTTTGTTTTCTATTAGTGAGGATTCTACTTTACCTGTAAGAGGCAGGCGACGTGCTCCTCCTCACTCTTCTGTCGGACGAGAGCCTGCTCAGCATCCCAGCTGGAGGTGGTGGAGCCCGTACCAAAGCCTGTACCCTTGGCCCAGTACTGCTGTGACTTCTCCTCAGACGAGTGGCTTACAGAATTCACAGTTGGCGTGGTGGCAGTCTGCATGGCAGACAATATCATTTGGGCCTGAAGTATACAAACAAATCGTAACTACCTGATGTCACCATAAACTAAATGTTTCTCATTTTCAACCTTGAACAAAAAAGAAACTGGGATAGAATTGTAACATATATAGAAATGTACTCTAAAGACAAGGAGGCACATTTTAGCAGTGCATACAGTATATACGTAGCTGGTAAAATGAACTACAAGTCAACAATTAGCAAAAATCTGATTCAATTTTACTGTTTTTTTTATTTATTTTGTGTTAGTGTAAAATTAAGAATACTAACAATAACACATGGTATTGCCAATCACACTTAAACCCTCACAATCGGAACTGATCCAAAATGTAAAGTGTATATCGACTTGAGGTGAATGACTGAAAATACTCTATAAATATAAATTGTAATCTTCAAATGGTCAAAACACAAACTCACAAAAGTGATCCTGGTAATGAAGATATGTTTCATGACAATAAGAAACATTCTATATATAGAAATTGTGATCTTCAAAAGGTTGAAACTCAAGGACTCAAGTTTCACGACAATCTGGTAAGAAATGAAGTCTGTCTATAGAAACTATGACCAGACCTTTGGCCCCAGCTGAAGTTTGTAAAGTTTCATGACAATTTAGAAAGAAAGACACCTGTGGAGCAATTAATCTTATTAATGGTATCGGTGAACTTGCTTTTGACCTCAGATGGTATAACATACACTAATACAAGAGACAATATTTGTCAAAATGTCTGAAATTTCATGAATGAAACTACACTATATAAAGTTTCATTGCAATTAAACAAGTAATGAATTTGTAGAACAAAAAGTCAAAAGATTCTATAAATAGCAACAGTCAGCTTTTTTTGGACTCCAGAAGTTTGAAACCTGAACTCAGTAGATGTGGAGTTTGTCAAAACATACATCATGAGTTTTCCTGACAATGGAATAAGAAATGAGGTCTAGATCAATAATGTTGTCAAGGACACATACAAAGATACCATCAGATCTCTTTATACTCTTGCTTCTTCAAAAGCTATTATAAACTGTACAATAAAGGAATTTGGTTTCAAATAAGATCCACCAGAATAGCACGAATTCAGAGTGAAATAAAAAAGTAACCCTTATAAAGGCTGACTATTAACAGATAACTTTGTTCCATTCCACTTACCTCCTGTTGGAACCCTGGCACAGATGTCCTTGGTATGTGATGACTGAGGACTGACAAACAGGCCAGAATCAGGTGGATCACCCAAATGTCCAGTGACATACGCCTCAGCAGCACCCCATCATCAGTTGTCAGGGGTGTACTGTCATACAGTGTCTTAAGCACCAGGAAAGGCAAGGTCGGCAGAGAACTAGCTATGGACGATGTCAGGATATGACCTGTTAAACAAGAGTTACATACATCATATCCAGTAGTCAGATAGTCATTGCAATATCTTTTCATCAAAATATTTGATTTTCTCTTTGCTAATGACATGGAAGCTGTTATCCCAGAGAATTGGGTTAATTAATAATTACATTAATTATGTCCTTGCCCTAGTAATGTAAAATCCAAAGACAGATGATAAGAAGTCAAGTTACCTCCATCTCCATCATCTGTGACTCCCAGCACAAGCCTGAGCAGACACTGGGCCTTCTTCCTCTCCTTTAGCAGTACCTCAGCATAGCCTGGTAGCCTCAGAAACAGACCAAAGGCAACCAGGGAATGTGGAGGAATGGATGGCATAGCTACTGAGGGGTTAGTTGCCCTGGACACAGCCGGTGCAGGCGACACAGGCTCATACAGCTAAAGATTAAAAACATCAATTAAGTATAAATTTATTTAACATGCTTTATTATTTTCAAAGATCATACATATGAATTTTATCATAGTTTTTTCTCAATTGAGGGTCCATTTTCTTTCAATAACAAAAACATTAATAATGATTTCTTATTAACCTTTAAAACAAATACATCATTTCTTCTTTTATGTACAAGTTGAAGTAAGAATGCCATAAATAAACCTTAAGTCAATAAATTTAAATCAATCATTTACTTCATAGAAATCCTCAGGGAACGGTTCCACCGTAACCCAGTCATGTAGCTCAGTGGAATTGGACATAGTCTTGCTGCTGTAGCTGTTGGTGATGAAGTCCTGTGTGGGGTGTCGGGCAATTTCCGGGTAAAGCAGTGGTAGGTGTTCCGCCAGCAGTGCCAGACCCCCCACACTAGCAAACACTTGTAATGCTGTGGGGAATGAGGACACGGACAACAGTGTCGCATCAGAGAGTATATCTTCATCCGACTCTGTCCAGTCGTCCGTGGGACTACAACCTGCAAAAAGTCAGATCAAGATGCCATCAGCACAAGCCACAGATACTGTTTGAAGTAGACATCCAACATTAAGAAGCATTAAAACATTAGTTTTACCATCAGGACAATTTCCCGATTACATTTCTAGATCAGTTTTAAGTTTTTTAACTTACGAGCATCTTGCACAGTGGTTTCTTTCTTCTTTGACTCGATTTTTACATAAAACTGAAGTACAGAGTGTCCCTCTTGTTCTCCTCTCTGGTGCAAAATCTGCAGAAGCTGGGATAGCGTCAGTTCACCGGGCAATGCTTTATCTACAAACAATATTTATGCATAAATAGATAATTCAATACATGTACTTTGTAATATGGTATTTTTATCTTTTACATCCAAAAAAAGTCATGATATACAAGATAATTGCAAGATATGTTCTGGTCTGTTTACCTGTAGTTAAAAATAGTTACTTTATCTTACAACAATTATGAAACAACTTTTCTAACTTATACTAATCACTCTTGTTGCCCCAGATAAAAGCATGCCTAGGATCTTAATGTGGGAGGAAACCACAGTACCAGAAGATAAAACACCTGATCTGGCAGGTGACCCGATATCTTTTCTTATCCAATCAGGAAATCTACCCCAGCTGTCTTGGTGAAAAGCAAATCGCTAACCACTGAATTATGGACAACTTATTTAAACTTATATATATTAATCTCTCGTTGGTTCGGATGTTAGCGCCCGAGTGGTCTAGTTGATATAAACGTAGGTCACTTACTGGGTAGTTTTTGGTGATAGAGAGACATGGTCGGATAGAAGAGTTGTGATGTGACTGCATCCGCTGTGTGTCGACCCCGTCGTGTGGGTGGTCTTGGAGGTAGCATCGACTTACTGGATTCTGGCCGGTCATCCTTAGTCCTTTTATCCTTTGCAGCCTGTCCTTTAGCTAAACATTAACACAATAAGTCAGATATTATATTTCCCTAAGACATATATGTCAGTATCAAATATTTACATATGGTGCGTGTTGTTATTATTTTTGTTTAAACTGAGAGTTAATACTTGTAGGAGTGAAAGTATTTTTAAAGAATTTATCTAATGAAATCTGATTAAAAGAATGTTAAGTAAGTCTGGCACAGACAACATACCAACAGTACTGATGTACTCTGCTATTTCAGTGGAACATGTGCCACTGAGCTCTCGCTTGGACTCGTCTGATTTCTCTGCTGCCTTTTCCAAGAACTGTCCTGCCAAACCTGGGGAATCTGTACAATTTGAAAAATACAACATACAAATTATATGATAAGAAGTAGCTCTGTTACATTTTTCCATATTATTTGATTTCTTTGTAATTGTAACCAATAAATAAATAGGAAATACATCTGTTTTGGCTCAAGAAGGAAAAGAAAACTACTAACTTTATGAAAACAACTATTAAAAATAAATTGTGTTGATGACTCACCAGACACCTTTTGCAGGAGGTCAGCACAGGTTGTATGTAGACTGACCATCATGGTGTGGTAGTTGCGGCCTCCAGAGTATTTGGGGTGCTCCACAGGGTTGATATTTTTGGTACTGAGCTGTATGCGCTGATCTTGCTGTTGTTGCGGACTAAACTGTAGTGCCACCAACACTTTCTCGTCCTCAAGTAGGGCCTGTAGGAACAGGCAGCGTGTAAATCCAGACAATGGGAAGTTACTGCAAACTTGACCTGAAGTAAGGTAACAGGTAATAAATTAGTCGTCACTTTAGTAACAATCAGTGAAATAAGATAATTGGAAGTTACTGCACACTTGTCCTGAAGTGATGTAACAGGTAATAAATTAGTCGTCTCTTTAGTAACAATCAGGGAAATAAGATAATTGGAAGTTACTGCAAACTTGACCTGAAGTAAGGTAACAGATAATAAATAAGTCGTCTTTTTAGTAACAATCAATGAAATAAGATAATTGGAAGTTACCGCACACTTGACCTGAAGTAAGGTAACAGGTAATAAATTAGTCGTCACTTTAGTAACAATCAGTGAAATAAGATAATTGGAAGTTACCGCACACTTGACCTGAAGTAAGGTAACAGGTAATAAATTAGTCGTCACTTTAGTAACAATCAGTGAAATAAGATAATTGGAAGTTACTGCACACTTGACCTGAAGTGAGGTAACAGGTAATAAATAAGTCGTCTTTTTAGTAACAATCAGTGAAATAAGATAATTGGAAGTTACCGCACACTTGACATAAATAAGATAGCAGATAATAAATAAGTCATCTTTTTAATCAAAATCAAAATGCCTTGACACATAGCTTAGGAACATATTCCAATAATATCGGATACAATTGCATATTCTAGATTTTAATTACAGCTGAGACAATAATTGGAACAAAAAATAATGGAGAGTAAAGTGATGGTTTTATGATGAAACAAGACTTGCCAGATTGTATTGCTGGTTATACTACTTGATGTCCCTGTCTCTATACGACACATGGATATAAAGGTTTCTACAGACCCTATTATCTAGATCTGTTGACTAATAACACCTACCAGTTTTGGAGGTGGAGTTCTGCTCCTTGACCACCTCACACAGAACTTTGGCAAACAACAGCTGGTTAACAATGTGACATGACGTGACCTGAGTGAAGAATCGCACAGCTGCTGTCTCTATAGCTGTCCTGTCCTCCAGAGACATCAACTGTGGACAATCAATTATACAAAATTATCATCAATTATGTACATCCTCAAGCTAGAAAGTGGAATTTATTTTTCACACTTTTTCTCTCTAAACCACAAGTGAAAATACTGATTCTCATAAAAGAAATCTGTCACTGATAAAGTGCAGTATTTTTGTCATTCAAATATTTTTCCTCAAAATATTTTTACTAAAATAGATATCCTTGTACCTAGAAGCGTTGTTTTCCAGATTCCATACATAAACAAGAAACAAACCTCAATCCGTTGGTTAGAGTTTTTCCTGATGGCAGTTGCCTGGACTGGGGTATTGCACAACATTGTGAGGATGGCTGGCCAGAAAATGTTGCCCTCGGCTCCTCCTAGCCAGTCCTTCATAAGAGGCTCTGATGACACCTCTGAGAAAAACTGGAGAACTGCAGCTACTATGTCTGCAGTTATCCACAGGTTATTGTCTGGAATGCAAAGATTTTTTTTTTCATCCTTAAATGTAGCAATCCATGTTTTAAAAGGTCCCCATACTTTCTTAGGTCATACCTGTCACTCTATTATGCATTTAATAGTAAAAAGGCAAGTTAATTCTTATTCAATGTGATAATATTCAAAGTTTTTCTTTTTTTTCTTTTTCTTTGTAGTAAATTTGTAAAATCAGTTGACTATTCCATAGTGAATATTATATACCCCTGTACCCTCCCCGAAAGAAAAGGCAATAACTGATTTTTTGTCAGAGCAGTTCTGATTTCTAAAAAACAGTCATTGTATGAAAGGCTTTCTAAAATAAATCACCATTTAAAATAACCATGAGTGTAATAATACCTGTATCATTGCCGTTGTCCCCATTGACCTTTGAAGTAGACGCATCATCATTCATTGTTTTACTAGTGTCTGTAAGTCCTTCTAAATTCACAAAGCCATCCGTGAGGTGTGACATCACCTTACTACAGAACTCAAATAACCCTTGTGCCAACACAGCTGGAAATCCAGAATCAAGTAACTGCTTGATAGCCACAGGTGATTTACAGGCCAGAGAGAGTGTAGATAGGTGAGCCTCCTCCAACACGATGTGACGGAAGCCTGGTACAGGGATGTCCTCCACCACAGGACTATCTGTCCCCAGACTCTGCTGCCGCTGTATACTGTTAGCTTCCTTGGAGTCATCTGTCAGACATTCTTGGTGTAGATGTGATCCTCCATCCTTTCGGTCATCGCACACTGAGGACGTCATGCTGACCTCATCATTAACAATCACACCCATCCAGGTGAGCAGCTGGGAGAAATACTCGGGATTGATGTGACACACAGAACACAGGACATAGTTAACAGACTTCTTCAGTGCCGAGTCAGACTTTAACACTGTTGACCACTCATACAATGCACTGCAATAACAAAACAAGGGACATTTGACAATAATAAACATACAGCTGCTCAAAAGAATAAGTTAATTACTTAAAACACAAGCCATTCAGACTGCATATGTAACTAAAAATCTTCAATTCACACACTCCAGAAATTTGTATCAAGTTTTATGCTCATATAAAGAAGGGAATTCAATTCAATTTACTAACAAGTCATATTTAAGTGCTTGAAAAATATATCTGAAAAATTGATAAAAGAAAAAATAATGAAATGTAAACAAAAACAACATGAAAATAGCTGAAAACTGACCTGACAAGATCTACTGTAATGAGATCAGACAGGTTGTATTCCACTTGAGCCTCATGACTGTACCACAAGACAGACGCCACACACTGGATGTGTGAGGGAGCGGGGCTTGGCAGACAAAGGGGTGACCCTCGGATGTAACCTTCAGCGGAGTACATGGAGGTCCTCTGTAAACTTAATCTTGCACTGTCTCTTAGCCAGTCAAGCAACGCCTTCACTCTGTCAGTACAAACAAGGGATAATGTAAATCTGTTTTACCCTGAACAGTTATTCTAAATAATTTTACTTCTTGGATCCATTTTTTCCATCATCTATATTCAAAATCATTAATTGAATATTTCATTAAAAGTCTGAAGCTTCCTATAAAATATTTGATTTACAATTTTTAGACAAAGTCTGAAGCTTTGTCAAATCAACGAAACAGAACTGGTTGAGTGTGGTACAAACCTGTGTTTTGTGCCGGAGTCTTGCACAGTGCTAAGCTGGTAGAGCAGTTCCACTGTCGAGTCATTGGCTAAACCACTCACTTTACCTAGGTAGGGGGTGGTGATCCCTAAAAAAACAATTGTAAGTTATTAAATATGGGGCAATGGCATAGATAGTTAAACCTTGTTTATCATGATAAAATCTTCTACTGTAAATCAATGATTGTAAATTGATTTTTAATGTTTATGTGTGAAAAAATTGGATTGAAGAATCAAATATCTCATGAACATTTACTCAGACACATTTCACCAAGGAACATCAAGCAGTAGTGCTCTTTTTTCGGGAATTCAAATCCTTGTGAATAGGTTGTAAAATATAATAGTGTAAAAAGAAAGTGATTTACAATAACTCTTAGTGAAATCAGCTAGTACAGCAGAGCATAATCAGATATCTCTTAAACACAACATGGTTTGTTAAGATAGGGTTGGACTTTCTTTATCATGAATATTATCAAAAGCCATTTCAATTCAAATTGAAGTAGTTATTAAATACAGCATTTGAATACTGGGAGGTAACAGTAACATTAGAATGAAATAGAAAATGAAAATCAGTAAATCCTAGTACCTGAATTGGCATCAGCTTGACCAAGTGGACTCCGAAGTATATTGTCTATGAGAGCCAGGCCCATGGAAATAGAGTGTAGTCCTAGATTGAGCAGTACATTCTCTATGTTGGGGGCATATACATTTGACATGGGAGAGACCAAAAGGGCTGAGCACGTGTTAAGAAGGTTTGGAGTACAGGCAGCTGCTGCGGCCACTTGGCTCTCTACCTCCTTGTGGGCAGTCATACAATGGTGAAGCAGGCGGATCCATCGCACACTGAAACACAACATGGCAAAGCATTTACAATCAAATGAAAATTTTAGCAAGTACTTAGGGAATTTCTGGATAACCTTTATAATAAAATTGAGAGCCAATCAATATTTGAACAGTGTAATTTAATCTTGTATAATAATTTGTAGTTATTCATCTGTATGTTGTATTTTTATGATAGGGGATCTGTTGATACTATCAATTTATCATGAATTGTAAAGTACTTTCCAGTTATAAGAAAGACATATAACCATTACCTAGACCTGGACACAAAGTCCTCTGTAGGCATGAAAATGTTCTGTGGGGCGTTGCCAGTGTCCCCGAAGGCGCTGTAGCCCACAAGCTGGATCTGTGACAAACCAATCGTCATAGAGTCGCGTGCTTTGTGCAGACGGATGGTCACACAAGTGGCCACCTCTGGCCGCTGTAGCTGGAGCTTGATGAAGGCCAGACTGCTGGTCATCAAGGGTTGACACAGTGGGGTGCTGGTCACTCCATCATGGCTGATTTCCAGTGACACAAAGGCTGGGCATGCTGAAAAAAAACACAACAGTAAGAATTTAATTTTTAATGTTAATAAATTGACTTCTCCATTGTCCTTCAGATGACTTATTTACTTCACTTCATTAACTAAATGCTAATGATTATCTTAAGATCTTGATTATAAGCCACAGCTGAAAGAATTCCAAGACAAATTTCACAAGGCTGGCTGAGTTTAAAGGCCATCTTACTTTGAAGCTATTTAGATGGTTAGTTTATTGATTTAATATATGATTTGTGGGGTGGGGTGGGGGTGGTGGGGTGGGTGGGAGTGGTGGTGGGGATGGGGGTTAAGCTTTGGCTATTCAAGCCTTCTATGTGCTGAGAGTAATCTCCTTGTAGACTAGAACCGTCCTCCTAACCCTAAATAAAGGGTTGAGGTGTGTGTGTGTGTGTGTGTGTGTGGTGTGGTGTGTTAAGCTTTGGCTATTCAAGCCTTCTATGTGCTGAGAGGTATCTGTTGTACCTAGAAGATACTTACTGGTAAGCGAGGCATTGTGAGGCTGAATCTGGACCTCTTTCAGCAAAATAGCAAAGGGCAGTTGTACTGTCAGATCCACCCAGGCCTCATCTGGATAAAAGTGGTAGGACCAAGCTGCAGAGCGTGCCCTGCGATGAGTTTGGGCGGCCTGTATGAGGACATCTGCTGGGCTGGCTGTGGGGCTACTGGAACTGATCGAACCTGTAACACACACATAACATCAAAAACTGCAAATAGTGTGGATTGTTTTCATCACCAATTTATTCTAAAAACGTAGAATGTGATGACAAGGGTATTACAGTGTTTCAGTTACTTTACAGACCATTTTCTTCCCCTCAATACTATGTCAACCTCCTAAGACCCACTGTGGTCAGTACACTACCAACAGATGAACTTTGCACGGCACCCAAAAACTTGGTAGTTAGTCATCCTAAAGAGTCCGACTCCTACTACAACTTCAACGTATTTCTATTTCAAATAATGTGATGGATATTTCTTCATAACTGTTGTCGGCTTGCCTGTCAACTGTCTGGATGTGTACTGACCATATGCAGATCAAGGATGCTTTATAAAAGAGCCAGCAGGGAGTCAGTCACTATATAATATATCAGCAAAAATGTCTGGGTGTTTTGCTTCCTGTTTGTAGTGGTAATGTCTCAAATAAGGCTGTTATATCATTTTAATGGCACAGCAGTCCTTCTATCATTAAACTTACACTGTCATCTAAATTTATAGCTTTCTAAAAGCTTAATTTTTACATAGATTTTAAAGTTATATTGATCACTAAAATGTTTCTAGTAGTACCTAAGGGAGCAAAGTTCTGCAATCCATCTGGGGATTCTGGTTCCCCTGTAGTCTTCTTTTCCATCATCTTTGACCTTCCATTGAGGTTCTGCATGATCGTGGAGATGAGACTGGGTGATGTATTGATGATTCTACAGTTACAGCTGACTAAGTTGCGACATACAACTTCTACCCCACCTGGAGATAAAATGTATGGTAACACATTAGCAATGAAGAGGCACATTTTACAGAAAATCAGTTGATCAGGTAATCATTATAATCCAAATTTTAATTTCTATTCAAACTTAACACTTCATCTACAGGTATAACATTTTTGATTTGAAATCCTACTCGTTAGATATAAACGTACTTTATATGATAACACCATAAACACAGAATGGTAATATTTTTACATTAGATAAAACTTACCCATGTCAAGGAATATATGAATTGCACGCGAGTTGTCAAGCACCTTCAGCATAAACCAGAGCAGAGGTTCCGACAGCCTACAGAGCGATGGTGATGAGGCCATACCCATGTAGGAACCAGACATATAATAGAAGAGAGATTCCAGTACCAGTTTCTGGTCAGAACAGTGCGAGGACAGGGTACGCAGGATCTGGTAAATTCCATCTCCAACAGAGATAGGGTTACTTCCAGTAAATGTGTCCTGCATGTGACTAGACACACCCCTACTGGCAAGGATCATAGCCATAGTGTTACTATTGCAATAGCTTAGGGCCTCCATTAAATGACACATGATCTGTCTGTGACCCAAAATAATGTCAGCTACATATGTGTTATTCGGCTCTGGAGGAGCATGCAAATTTTCAGTCTTTTGTTCATCAGTTTGCTGACACTTTTCCTCATCAGACAGCATGAAAGCAGAAGTAGGTGTGGAGGTGGCCAGTGCCGACAGGTTGAGGGTGGGAGTGTGAGGCTCTGTACTGTTATCCAGTACCACAGATGACATACGACTTGTTCGTGGTCCATATCGAATCTGTATAAGACTGTTGATGAGTCGCAGTAAACTACACATTAAGGAGTCTCTAGAGGCATCTCCAGGTGATGACCTGGAGTCTACTCCCCGTAACAGACTCGCAAACAATCCACCAAAACATGACCTGGCGTTGACATTGTTCTCTGAGGAACTGCGGCAGCTGATGCGCTCCTGACACAGTATGTGCTGGTGGACAAGGCTACTGATGGACTCAATCACACCCATGGCATTGCCAACCTCAATGTTCTCATACGACATGTCAAGAATGAAAGACAGGAACTTACACTGTGCATCAAGGGGCCCTAGGCCAGAGTGGAAGGCACCTCTGTAACAACAACAACAACAGCAGATATAGGGGGTAGGTCACTTGTCACAGAGAGCCATGTTAACAAACACATTCATGTTCATGTAAATGAATTAAAAGTCAAATTTTATTCAATCTTCTGTCAATTAACAAAGTTATTGTTAAATGAAACAAGCATCACATGATAAAAGCATGGCATGGTCTTATTTGTGGAGCACCGAATGCCAGATGAGCATCTATGAATAAAGCAACATACCTCTCAGCACACAGAGTATACACTAACTTCAGCATCAACTCCTTCAGATTCTTCAGGTTATCAGCTGAGCATTTAACCAAAAGTCTCAGCAGAAATTCATAAAAGCTTTTGGTAGCTGAAGGTCCAACCTTAATAATTGAAAATTAATTGTTACCCATCTGTTGTTTATATATAACAAGAGGCCCAATGGGCCTGCATCGCTCACCTGTTATTAATCTAACACTTGTAATCTTAAGATTTCATAAGAACCTATTAAAAGATTTAAACATATGATGCCATTGACCTTGATTGTTGAACAAGGACATTAGGTTGAAAGTGGATCAAGGTCATTCATTTGAACTAACATGGTAGTCCTTCATCCCAGCATGCTACAGGCCCAATTTCAGTACCCTGGCGCTTTTGGATATTGAGAAGAAGTTGTTTGAAGATTTTACAACATTTGACCCCTGTGACCTTGAAAGTGGGTCAAGGTCATTCATTTGAGCAAACTTGATAGCCCTTCATCCCAGCATGCTACAGGCCTAATATCATAACCCTGGCCCTTTTGGTTATTGAGAAGAAGTCGCTTGAAGATTTTACAACATTTCAACCTCTGTGACCTTGAAAGTTGGTCAAGGTCATTTATTTGAGCAAAATTGGTAGTCCTTTATCCCAGTATGCTACAGGCCCAATATCAGTACCCTGGGCCTTTTGGTTATTGAGAAGAAGTCGCTTGAAGATTTTACAACATTTCAACCTCTGTGACCTTGAAAGTTGGTCAAGGCCATTTATTTGAGCAAAATTGGTAGTCCTTTATCCCAGCATGCTACAGGCCCAATATCCGTACCCTGGACCATTTGGTTATTAAGAAGAAGTTGTTTGAAGATTTTACGACATTTGACCCCTGTGACCTTGAAAGTGGGACAAGGTCATTTATATGAACAAACTCGGTAGCCCTTGATCCCAGCATGCTACTGGCCAAATATCATCTTCCTAGGTCTTTTGGTTATTGAGTAGAAGTTGTTTAAAGCAAAAAGTTGATGCCGGACACGACAGCAGGACGGACGACGGACGGACGGACGGACGGACGGACGACGGATGCCGCACCATAACATAAGCTCACTTGCCCTTGGGCAGGTGAGCTAATAATGCTATTATACCATAAGCATATTCCTTTACATGCACTTAAGACCATTGATTTGATTACAAAGTTGTAAGAATTCTATATTGTCTTAGATTCAGTAACTGTATAATATTTAACAAATTTCTGGATCTCTAAATCCTCAGAATTTTTTAATGCTGGCTAACCTGTGAAAACTGTGCTGCTGATGCTATGGGTCCATATTCTGATGTTCCTGACAGGAATCTGGTTATGACTGCCATGAGGTTTCGTTCAGCCATCATGGGAATCACCATGGACTGCTCTGGTCCCAAGGGGTGGGAGCGGATCTTCTGGTTGGCTAACAGAGTGAGCGATTGGAACACAAGTACCCATGTACACACTGGCAAGCTGGGTGTGGCATTCACCAGAGCTAGCATGTTAGCCATGGAAGTCGTACTTAGGGGGATCAGGGGTGTCCGACTGGGGTCAAAGGTCAGCTGAGTGCTACTGCCCTCAGAACTACCTTCGCCATTCAAGGTGAGCCACAATTGCAGCAGGGCATCAAGGTTTGTATGTTGGGGTATGAGATTGTTAAACAGATGGGCATAACACTGACTCAACATCTCCGATGATGAATTCTACAACAAAAAAAACACAGATATTAATAACATGTTTCTTTTTATTTCAAACCTATTAATTGTAGTAAATGTACAAAAGGACTGGGCACAGGCATTGCCTATTAAAGCCCTTACCAGATTGAGACATACATTTCAGGTATTGTATATACAGAGTATGCATTCAGAAGATGTACAAGTGATGCATGTTCAGGTAAATAGAGAAATACAATAACCAATTAGTTGGGATATTGTACATACACAAAGAGATTTAAAGCGGAATATCCGAGATTTTAACATATGCAGTATGGTGTCTGCTTCTCAATATTTCCATTTTGTCACTCCAATTTGATACAAAAGCAAAAGTGCCATTCGTAAGAAAGTTAATCTTAATTTTCAAAACAAAAAATAATAAAATATTTATTTACCTCTGGTAAGTTTGCTCTGCTTTCTGAAATGTCATCATCAGTGGTTGGAGGGGAACTTTGTTCAACGCTGATGCCAGGAGAGGGTGCCACAGGTAGTGATGAAGAGAAAGCCTGCTGTACATTCTCCGTGTGTAATGACAGCATGGTCTGTAATGGACAACCAGTAAACTTAACTGTACAGCCCTTTTTATCATATGTTAATTTAATCTAAGCGTAGCTTTACAAGCATTCCATGTCTTTTTTTATTCTATGCAAGAAATGATCAAGTAGAATTGGTAAAATTGTTATTTTGAAAAGAATCATCCATACTTTTATCTTTTGTTAATTTGAGCAAAATAACTAGTTTGTTAACTCACCTTGAGTCTAATTTCAGCATGTGTTTCCAGACCAAATTCTAGCCTGGCGTCCATAGCTGTTGACATGCCCTGGACAGTGGCCATCAGACTGGACTTCATAGTGCCTGGGTAGCCTGATAAAGTACACCCCAGTAATGAGGGCATCTGTTGAAGAGTGGTACCAGTGTTGGCCAGAGTCTTGTCACCTTTGGTCATCTCAGCCATTTGTTTATTTTGACCTATCAGCTTTTGAACCATTAACTTCTCCACCTTCTCCATCTCTGCTGAGAACACTCTGCAATGGAGAAAACAAAAATAAGACTGACATTAGTCCAAGTTACCAGCCCTAAAGCCACTGTATGTTATTAATATGAAACACATACGTTCTGTTTGACAAGAACAACATTCCACTACAGCTTTTATTATGCACCATTGCTAAAATACAACTGTATAAAGTGTGTATATTTTGTTTCATCCTACCCAGAAGAATTCATTTCCAGAGCGCCATTGAGACTAGTGGTTGGTAGTGGTGTTTCGTAGGGAGACATGGGAGGTGGTGGTGGTTTACTGGCATGGCCGGTCACATAAGCATGTAACTTTGCAGCTGATTCCTCATATTCCTCTTCCCCATTTAACAGAAGGTCTACCATCATGGAAGATTCCTTGTCAAAATTCATTTTTGTTGAATCGTCTTTGCTCTCAGAGGAATCAGCATCTGCAAAGAAAAGAAAGGTTGAAGCATAATAAAACTTCACTACAATCTTAAATATATATGGATTAATGCACTATAAAATTTGTACAAAAGACAGATATTTTTTCCCAGATACAAACTCTTCATTGGATGATTTTATGTACATTTATATTTACATAAGCTATATACTCACACAGATATATTTATGCATCATTTTGTAATACACTGTTGCTCAAACACACAATCATGATTTGCCATACATAAGAAACATGACTGATGGGTCAAGAAAAAAAGTTTAGATTTTGACTAGTGTCTTTCAGTATAATGGTGCATACCTTGGTTGTCTGCCCCTGATTCACTGTCCTCCATAGTAGGCAGACCGACACTGCTAGGCAGGCTCTCATCTGTCTCTGTGATGTTACTGATACACTCTTCTGTCAACTCGGTTGTGTCATTGTTAGGGGGATAAAACTTCTCTCCTGTACAGTAAAGATAGCATTTTATTACATGTATTTGAGAAAATAACTAATCAATCTGTTATTTTTATTATCTAGTTTAATATGATGCATCCATTCATTACATTCAAAACAATAATTGTTGCCCAGGTAAGGATAAGAAAGTTTTACCTTTCAATATTTATTTCAATCTTGATACAGTTGATGGAAAAAAGACTTTTCTAGACTTCAGTAGCGGTCTTGCCAAGCATTACAATGTCTGAATGCTGCTTTGAATTTGGGATTACAGATATGGTACAGAAATTCTAACCATTCATGATGCATACATCTTGTTTCATCAAAATATGATTTGTTCTGCAGCAGATATTATCCAAACAACGATTTGACCTTCAACTCTTGTTGTGATCATTATCTCGGGTAGAGGCACACTGTATGGAATCTTCCCTAGTTGAACAATGTTTTGAATGATAAAAACCCCCAAACTTAAAGGTCAATTGACGGCAAAACCACACAAGATTTTACTACCAGGTATTAACTACATATTTCAGTCAACATGAAGTCATCAACAAAGAAGACTAGAGTTCAGAGAAGTAAATTACACATAAATATGGATAGTTTAGCCAAGTAATAAAGACTGGTCTGAAGTTTAAATGGAAGCACCAGTTTTGAGGAGCTATATACCATCAAGTATGTCCTGTAGAAGACATGTAATTGCATGTCCTGCCCAAGGTCCGCCCCAACTGATGTTGCTGTGACTGAATTCCATGTTGGATGCTAGCAGTATGAGTTTCTCCAACTGCTCCTGTCCCATGGCCTCTGACAGTGTGATAGCTGGCCGTGTCGTCACGCAAATGGTGGCAAGCACCTGTCATAACAAATCAACCAAGATGCCATAAGGATCAAGTCTGATGGGCAGATCAATATCCTGACATGTAATTCCTAGTCCGAGTGTTAAAGAGTTTGATTCCAATTACAATAATTAGTCAAACAGGTTTATCATTATTTTTTACACAACTGATAAAAACATGACCATAATTGACTTCAAACTTATATCAGATTATTAAGTTGAGTATTTAGACCTAAATTAAGAGTTACTCACCATTTCATTTCAAAACTTGGTCAGTTTAATATGTACTCAGAGCTAAGATGCTAACGAGCTTGTTTTAATTCAGATGATTAAGTCATCACTTTTTTTTCAGTTCTATACTACCACAAATTATTGCAAAAACCCTATACTTAATAAAAACATCCATGTATACAACAATTGTCCAATATCAAGTTTATCCTATCAGAATCATTACTTTCACATCTGATCTAGTGACCTACCTTGCAAGTGACCAGGAACAGGTCGACATTACAAGTGAAGTCCATGCTGAGGAGGAGAGCCATGAGACCCCGCACCACTCGTAGTGTTTTGTCCTTGGAAAGCACCAAAACACCGTCCTGATCATAATCGCCACTACTCTTACTGGGACCTGCTATCTCATCCATCTTTGGTAGTTTACGTAGGGCATCCACATTGGACCTCATCTGGAAAATTTTGTTGACATACTGTTCAACAAAGAGCATATGAAATGTTTATTTAATTAACTTTTCATAAGTTGAAGTTTTTTATCATTATGACTTGACATCAACATGTGTTGTTAAGTACAGATACCATGCACTAAACATATGTAGTTCAGACATTTCTACTAAACTTTAATCTGTTTGCAAATTCCATGATACCATGACCTTCAACTTCAATTGTCAGAGGTAAAGGTTACCAAAAAAGTCATGTAACATGCATGCTGTACTAAGTTCATAAGCATGTGAAGTTGCATGACCTTAGCTGCGGTACTTCGTCCAGAATTGACCTAAATGCAAAACTTAACTGGTCGGATGTACGGACGGGAGAAATACCTGATGCCTCATACTACTTTGTGGTGGTGCATCAAAATATGAATCCAACTCCTACCTTGGAGGCATACTGGGAAAGCTCCTTACGAAACTGCTTCTCTTGCTGTTTGAGAAGAGAGGTACTGCTGCCTGATGCTGTTTTGTCAGAGCTGAAGAATGTTTTCTGGGCCTGCTGGAGGTCCATGAGCTTCTGTTTATGATGCAGAAGACGCTTGTGCATGGACCATCGATACAACTTGGAACTTTTCACCTTACTTTTATTGTTAACCAAATTATGGTCTCCTTGTATGAAATTCCATCTATTTGGTAAACTGTTGCCTGAAACAGAGAGATAATTATATTAAGAAGGCCGAATACTCACCTGCAGACCCCTGAGCAACATTTGTTGTTGATACTGAACCCGGTAAAAGATTTCCATAAGGAACAGCATTTCTAGTCGCAAAATAATGTGGAAGAGCGAACCACTTGAAACAACCAACTACCACTGTGTCTGTATACAATACTATACCTGCAGCCTTGTGTAATATAAACATGGTCAATTACCAGCACCTCAAGGCCATTTTTTCTATGCCATGGGAAGGCATTAAAAACCTTTACAATATTACCAATCATTTAGTTTACATCTACTAATCTGAATGTTTTTGTCTCTTACCATTTTCTCGCTTCATCTGTCGGTCTTCCCCATTAGACCCTACAACGAATGTGTGGTCCAGGTTACGGCACAGGAACAACAGAATCCATCCTACCAGTGTCAAGTCTATCAAACCTGCAGGAACACGAAGAAACAGGCCATATAAACAACCATATAGAAAAGTATTCAAAACCATGCACTGGAAAATTCAGCTTTACCTATTTTTCTTTCTATTACAAATAAAGTGTATATGAGAAGTTAGCAATATAAATAATTGTTAATGTCTCAAAATATATTTTTATGTCCTTAAGATTGTCTTTCACATGAACAGTCTTTGCAATATTGACTGTAAATGCCTGGAATGTTGAAGGCCTACCTGACTGACCAAACTGCATTGTTTGCTGGTTGTTGATGAGAGGAGTAAGGACTCTGGCCAGCATATCTAACAAACTTTCCATGATGTGTACAGCACTGGGACCTGACAACGCTTTCTGTCCCATTGCCAGAAGCAGCACAAACACCCTGCAAATAAAGACCATCAAAGTGAAACTAAGTTCTTTATTTAGTTGCATTTTATTGTGAAACTATGTAAAATCTGAACAAAATCATCCTTTCTTTCAAAATTTATAGTCCTAAATTCAAATAAAAATTTGATCAGTAGCATTTCAATATTCACGATATGTTTCCTATGGGTCGGAAAAGATAAGTGTATTTTCAATCGTGCCACAGATAGAGTCCAACTACTTTTTCACTGTATACAGGCAGTGACAAGCTATTTTCTTGAAAAATAAATGTTGTTTCCTCTATATCTATACGAAGACTATCACAGGTTGCATGATTTTTAGGGAATTCAAACATTTTAGATTTTTTTTTTAGTAATGTTACTGTAAAGTAATGTCTGGAACTTTCATCATTCTGAGTCTTGCCTTGACTATTTTTTTATTTTCACTTTTCTGTTTTTAATCATGCCTATAGTGTTTTTGATCTTGTCTGGACTATTTCAATCTTACCTATCCTGGGAGAAGATTTGTGTATTTTCTGAGTGGAAGAATTCCTGTAGAGCATTGCCTAAGAAGTTACCCCACCATTGCTGGCTGCCACACACCCGCATCAGCAGCATCCCCATACCGATCTGGATCTTCTTTGTCCCATGAACACATAAATGCTTGAACAACATTTCTGAGTTCAGAGGGTCCAACATTTTGAACAAAGAGGCTGGTGGTTGTGGAATACTTGGTGACACAGTTGTTAGACTGAGCAATGTGTCCAGTGTCAGCTCCAGTAGAAACCTTAGTTTGTCTGTGCATGCCTGACGCAGTCGTGTGTTCAGTGTCAATGAGGTTTCCACTCGATGACCTTTGAAACCTAAAGCACTGTGGAGTCTGTCTGTGGCCCTTTGGGCCAGGTTCAGTTGAAGCTGAAGTTGAAGGCAGTCATGATACGCCTGCAAAATTTTATTATCACAGTCGTTCTTCTTCTGCTTTTTCAGATAGTACTGTATATGGCCACTAGCATACTGCTGAGTATTAACAGCAGCCAACAGATTCTCAAGCCTGGTCCTAGCCAGACTGTACCTACACTGAATGTCCTCCAGCAATGACATGTACACACTTAACTGGGCCAATAAATGGGGCTGAGTGGGCAATTCTATTTGACTCCCGGACATACTGCTGCCCTGAGAGTTTTGCTGTTCCAGGTAACTGTTCCACTCCCATGGTAAGATACAGCTGTGTCCATAGAATGCACCAATAGGAATTTTTGTTCTTGTAGAACCACTTCCATATCTGCCTATGGTAGTTATCTGAAAATTAAATAGCATCTTATTATAGAACTATAGAACAAATAAATGATTTATCATGTAATAAATTTGGACTCTTCCTGAATCCATACGACATGTCTTTCATTTTGGCAGACATTAAAAAGAGTAAGTCTTTTCAAACCAAAATATTTTTACATATTTCCTCCTTGAAGCAAAACAAACTATCCCTCGAGGTACCTACCTTTTCTAATGTTGGTCTTTTGTTTACCATGATTTATGAATCATAAAGGCTAAGAAATTAAATATATAAAATTTACCTTGAGGTATCTGCAGACTGGTGCTGGCATGATATCATTCATGATGAGAGATCTGCTGCCTATGTCTCCAGCCACCACAAATCTCTGGCCATCAATCTCTTCACCCTGTACCCACACATCTATAGACAGCGAGGCAAGGTCTGCACATGCTGGGATCACCACATCCGTTAGCACCACTGGCTTACCAAAGTCCAGAATTACAAATCGACGAGCACCTGCAGACAAAGCAAACACAATTTAGAACCAGATATTGTCAACTATCTTTAGAAGTAATGTATAACTTGGAAAAATTCTGCGACCAAAAATTAATAGTTTCTTTCTTATCAGCAATTATTCATTGAAACCGGCTTTAAATAAATGAAAATAATTGTTTGAAGGAGTTAAAAATGAGACTGAACTAACAACAAAATTGCTACATGCATTTTGTTGGAAACAAATATTAAATTGTACAATTTATAATCTAAATTTAAATGTAGATGATTGTTTTGGTGAGCGAAAGCAACACTAGTCCTTCAGTACCAGCGACGTGTAAGACACTAAACCTGAGCAGTACTCACCAGAGTGCATTCTCTCTATGACTAACACCTGTAGAGGAGGAGGCTGCAGCAGGGTCTGAGTGTTAGGGATCCCTAGTGAGGACTTCTGTGCCTGAGCATACTGCTGTTTCAAGGCGTCAGACTTGTCATTGGTACCTTGATTCTGTAAATAGATATATTAAATTCTGAGCACTTTAAACTACATACAAAGGAAAAGAGAATAGTAACTTTCACCAGGGACGTATAATGAAGGGGATTAGCAACTCCCTCTTTGCCTTACCAATTTTATGACATGTCAATCTAGACTTACCTCCCCCTGATTCAGGAGCAGATAGCGAGCGCCACCTATCTCAACTTTGACAAAGCAAGATGGCGTCAATCCCGCTTCGTTAGATACAGAAGTTGGCGTGAAAACAAACCAATCGCGATAAGTGTTCTTACGTCTTTTGTTTATCCCATTGTTATAAGCTGATTGTATTCCTTATAATTGATAAAATCTGTGGTATCATAGTAATTGATGTCTCGTTTTTGGGGTATATTTTTCTATTTTTAAACGCGATGTAACGCGTGGTTCAGAGTATTGGGGTGGGCTACGATAAACAAAAATGCGGGATAAAAAAAAACCCACATGTATGTGAACCACCTCACTCCAAAATTATTTGACCGATCTTTTTTAAATTAGCAGCAATAGAAAGCTGAATAATTTTTATAACGACCCAACCCATGTTAATTGCAAATAATATAATTTAACTCGTGTTATTTTTGTGTCAAAAAGTGTAAATATCAGCATTATTTTTCACTAGAACGTAAATCATTATTGCGAAAGTAGTTGGTGACTGCTCACTGTTTTCATTAAATTTTATAAACTATCGTTTATATTTTTTAAAACAATTAATATCAATAAACAGCGGAGTAATTTCTATGTTAAGTAGGCCTGATTTGATTTGCATTACTTGGAACTATAGCGATGTCACAGATGAAATTACTCGTCTGGTAACGAAGCACACGTGTTGTTAAAAACCGTAAACAAAAATGCGGGATAAAAAAACCCACATGAATGTGAACCACCTCACTCCAAAATTATTTGACTGATCTTTTTTAAATTAGCAGCAATAGAAAGCTGAATAATTTTTATAACGACCCAACCCATGTTAATTGCAAATAATATAATTTAACTTGTGTTATTTTTGTGTCAAAAAGTGTAAATATCAGCATTATTTTTCACGGGAACGTAAATCATTATTGCGAAAGTAGTTGGTGACTGCTCACTGTTTTGATTTATTTTATAAACTATCGTTTATATTTTTTAAAACAATTAATATCAATAAACAGCCGAGTAATTTCTATGTTAAGTAGGCCTGATTTGATTTGCATTA